TTCCACACCAGTGTTGAATGTTAGGATTTTGTTCCTTGAGCTAAATGTATTAGTTTTACACACCAGTTATATTTTTCAGTATTGACTTCGGTAATAGTAATAGCTTTATTCTGAAAAACACGTTTGTGTAATTCAGAATTTCCAGCGAGTTCCATTGGGAGGTATTAGTCCCATTTGTAAAATCTTCTGGAAATATGATGATCATCTGAGGCAATACTGTTCCATCCTAAGTATGTTTCGCTGCTACTCCGCGATTACCTTCGTGAAAGTTTCAGCCATAGGTACAAAGTTGATTGAAATTGTGCGCGAGTACAGACTGCGACTCTTGTGTTATGTAGAAGATTAGAACATTTTGAATTAGGGTAAAACGATGCATTCTGATGGATAGAAAATCCAGATTACCTAGTGATTCAGGCAGGCCACCGTTTCAAAATATCTATCTGTGTTGCTTGTACCTGAGACGATAGCGCCCGTCCGGCTGAGTGAAAAAAGTGACCTACTTGAATTTTCCATGTTGACGGTGTTCATTGCTTGATGTTGTTACTTGGATATATCTATTTCCATTGTTTTCCCTTTATTCACCTGGAATCTTGCCTTCGTTGTCTCAACCGAAAAAGTCTTGATTTCTGCCTATAGATGTTTGATTTCGTATGACACTAAACGCAAATTGTCCGTGAAGTCTATATCCTCCGATGCCTTCCATTGGTTTACTGGATACCCGTCTTCTCCCTTCCCACCAACTGCCGCATGATTCAGTCTATCGCTATCAGGAATATAGTTGTTGATAGAAGGCAGCTTACTCCTATCCTCATGTCACACGCCTCATTGAAGTTTCCGCTGTGCTGAAAAAGGCTTACAATGGTTTGCAGAGCTGCACCATGCAGAGCTAAAGAAATTTCCAGATTATTTTATAGACTTTTAAAGGTCGACGAGGCTGAGATAGAAATTTGACTACGGTTCAATGCCCTGTTTGATGGAGATGACAGGCGTTGCGGTTTGGTTAGCACATAATTGTTTTCCTTAATTACGCTTTTTCCTGATGGGGTTCCGCATCCAGATTATCTTACTGTCACCCCAGGATGGCGCCAATTAATATATTCTTTGAAGGCTACTGGAGAGTGCTTCCACGCCACATTTTGAAAAGCTTCAGGTGGCCCTTATTTCGTAGAGCTACGATGAATTATCGTCAGTACTATTGTTTTGACCAGTTCGACAAATTTCTCAGATATGTGTGAAGAGCGCAAAGAGAATCCTCCACCTATGACTTTCGCCAGAGTTTTAAATGAGTTGCGTTAAGAACGTTGGAAAGCTTCATAATATTCCATCATGTTTAGATTCAGGTTTCAGATTTATTGGTTAAGGATAGGAGGCTTGAAGTCTATGTTAATCCTTTTCTAGTCAATTTCTGTACTTGTCCACACTATTCTTGAATGAGTCACTTGATGTCGCTGACACCACTTCTTCTGGGAGTCGGTTCCAGGAGTTTATGAGCCGGTGTGATAACCAGCACTCCACAGCAGTATAAGTTATCCTTGGCTTTTGACTCTCCTGCTATGTCCTCTGAAGTGTTCCAACCTGGTGTAAAGGAAAAGAGAGAATTAGTCAGGTCCATAGTCTTCATGTAAAATTTTAAACATTGTGATTAAATCTCCTCTCTGTCTACGGTATGATGGGGAGAACAGATTTAAACTGACTAGTCTTTCCTTGTATGATAGATTAGTAATGCCAGGAATCATACGTGTTGCCTTCCTTGAACGCTTTCTAGAATATGTGAGTCCCCTTTAAGACAGGGACTAAATTCAGTTTTCCAGTCTTCAACTCATCAGAGATGTGTTCAAGGAGGTGAACATATCTCTGGTGATTCTAGTAAAGGCTCTGCGAATCGCGCATAAGGATCTGAAACTAATTGCAGCCACCGTGCGACAGTGTGCTGTAGTTCTTAAATCTCGAATCACTGTGACACCTAAATCCAAATGAGTCTGAACTTTCTGGAGTGTTATTCCCTTTAGTTCGTAAGAGCTGATGCTTTTGTGTCCAATCGGTGAGCACAGATAACTCATTGATACACAAAATAAATAGGAGAGGCTCGACTACCGTACCCTGTGGCACTCCGCTACGCACTGTTGTCCAGAAGGAGAGTTTTGAGTTGATCTTGACCCCCTGGCTCCTAGTTGTGGGGAATTCCATAATCCATTTTGGTAAGGTGCATTTGATACCAGGACTTTCCAACTGCATCAGAAGTCTTTTGTGAGGAACTTTATCGAAGGCTTTGCTGAAGTCTAAGAAGACTAAATCAACGGGTCTTCTGTTGTCCCTTGATTTGACTCATATATTTCTTGCAGTGAGAAGAATTTGTAACAACAGAAGACAAGGGACAGGCAACAGATCGTTTATTTAGGAAATCAACAGATATTTGTAGATTTTCATGTACAATATTATAGATTAGTGTAAGCAAACAAACACAGTCTTCTGATGGGTGGTTTCTTGATGAACGTTAATCTTTCATCTCTTTGTGGCCGTTTCTAGAAGTTCAGCTTATCTATCTGCAAATTGTATCCGCCTACGCAAAGTCTGCTATGACTGGTTGTTGAATCAGTCCTTGTTCTTATTTTTCTCATGACCAATATTGGGGACGTACACATTGACGTAAATAACTACCTACCAATTTTGGACAGCACCCAACTCTCACCACAATTTGATAGGCGTGAGAAGTTCCTCGGAAGCCACGCTGTGCTCTGGATAGCAAATTTTTGTTTTCCAGATACGCCTTCATATTTTTATTGATGATTCTTTACAGTGTCTTGATTAAATTGATGGTGAGACTAATAGGCCTGCGATTTGAACTGCTTCGTCTTGATCCTCCTTTGTGGATGAGGGTTACTATGGTGTCTTTCAAGTCACACGGTAATACTGGATTCAGGAGAGATAGCTTGAAGATAGTGGTCAATGGGCCGCCTGTGTGAGCTGACAGCCCCATGAGAAGCTTTGGATGAAAATTATCAGGAGTCATTAATTTCCCTTCATCTAGTTTCATTAGGTGGTTCAGCGGACTGTGTCTTAACGCGGTCTGCTAGGCATAAGTCGGCACGGACGTATATGTCTTTTATTTTGATAAAATAAAATCTTGTCTATAACGGAGCTATACTCTACCACGGTACCCAAGTTTTATACGTACATCTATATCCCTGAACCTTTAAGAGTTTGAGTGTTGCTTAGAATGGCATCCCTCTATTCCTGGAGTTTAGTACAAATTTAAGAAGGCGTACCGGCTGATATACTACCGAGTCAGACTTTTGGCCGATTCTATGTAAGCTGTGTATAGTTATGTCTGATACTGTTGTTTGCAGTGGCTTACCTAAAAGGGGCTTGACCAAGTTAAGGTCACGCTCTAACATGACATTGGGATCGGAGGCCAGTGATTCTTCCAATTTGTGGAGAATAAGCGACCTGTCAGAGAGATCAGGTTTGCTTGCCGTGGATTTCTTGATCTGCGGCGTAAATGTCTTTCCGTCCTTCGTGAACAGTGTAGCCATTATGTTTTCATTATCTCGCTTTTGAGAAGGACTACATCAGGCTATCCATTGGCGTACTTCTCGCTAACCGTAGTCATTTGTGTCTGCCTTCTATCCGCCGGTGTGGATGAGGCTTGGTCTACAAGTGCATGGGCAACTTGAGCTGCGGGTTTTCGACCACTGGTATGCCTCTTCTTCGTGCCAGTCTCTCCATTAATTTCACCGGAGGGCTTGTCCGGTATCGTAGGGGCAGCATGTGTGTCTAGAAAATGGTGGGTGCTGTTATGTACTGAAGGGCACTCACTCCTTGACAGAGACGCATCAGGAACGTGTATTGTCTTGTCAGTGACACCAGTCACGTCATCGGTGTCTGAAAAGTAGTCGCTGTTCTCCTGTGGTGGAGGACCTTTGCAGTCTAGGAGCTTAAGAGCCCCACTGGGAGTGGCAATGGCTTCCATTATACGAAACTTAGTCGTGTTACAGCAATCACTGCACAGCCAATTTGCCAGAGGTTGCAGCAGCTCTAATATGCTGCAAGAGTTAGGTTTGTACACATGCTATGAAACCATCTCTTGCAGTTATCATACTGCATTCCCTCGTCAACTGGAAACTGGCACATAACTCTTCCATAGCGGTTCCTATAGATAGGCATGTTTTTCAGAGAGAATCAGGACAAAAAGATTCAAATATGACTTTATATATATGGTCTTTATAAATTTGTGATAAAAAACCAATGAGTGCACAAAAATGGATATATACATATAGTTATTAAGTTATTAGAACAAAACTTCCTATAATTAAGTAGCCTCAGAACTGAAACGTAAAGTGACTTCGAGTGGCGGGATTTACTACGCATAAGTTCACCGAAGATCTGGAACCTCTACCTTACAATTAAGAAGCGAGCTCGGCGGCACAGCGGTTAGGACTCTCGCCGACCATGCATATGGTCCGAGGTTCGATTCCCCGCCGACGCATACCTGATATCTATGGTCAGCCTGCTAAATTTGGGCTACCGGTATCACATGCTGAAAATTTCATACTTGTACCAAAATACTGTGTGGAATCAAGCTATAATAAAATAAAAAATAAAAAATAAATCACTGGTTTATACTAGCTCGTAATCAGGATATTGGATATTGGCGAACAAACTGATATTAAGTTAATCTGTAGACTTTTGGAGCATTTAACACAACAAAAGCGGAAATTAAACAAGAGCGTGTAAAATTCACTCCCTTTTCAAAGTTTGTGACACAGGTTTTAAAAGGTTTGGTTTCACAAATAACCGTTCACGAGATGCCTCGACAGTCATCTTACTTCAGTCGATAGTGATGTTCTGAGGCACTTACCAACAAAGCACTCATAATTCAGCTCAAGAGGGAGCAAAATGGGCTGAAAAGAATTTTTCGAGAGATAACTATGATCTTGATCAGTTTTTGTACTCTGAGCTGACATCTTTAATTTATTGAAATTTGAAACATGCCCTGGCGTGTTACTGGGTTGTTGTTGGCGGTAGATTTTTGATAAATGCTACGGTGCTTTCACTGTATTGTCTTGGTTGCTGTGTTTCTGTTACCCTTTATCGAATCCGCCGGGGATAAAGGTAAACAAAATTCTAATTCTAACTCCGTCCCAGTAAAATGTAATCAGAGTTTGGGTGAAAACGCTTGTCTTCATTACTTCTCCTATCCTAAAACTTTTAAGGAAGCTCAATCTGAATGCCTTAACTTAGGCCTTTCCCTCTTAACAGTGCTGACAAAAAAGCAACAAGAGTTGCTAAGGGATTTTCAGACAGACGTAAGCAGTCTTTTAGATCTTTATGGTGTATTTGTGTTCACATATCCATATGCTAACGTTTTTATGCTAACTAGAATTAGGAATAGCTCACAGCAATGCTTACTATCAATACATCACGTGAGGCTCCTTAGTTGTTTCCCCCAGCATTGTTGTGGTGCTTGAGGATAAAAATTGGAGACGAAAGTTCACAGTGGTTTTATTCGAAAGTGTGTGGACATTTATTGCAAACATTTGGAAATTAGTTTTGCAAGTGTTTAACTATCACTGACTTAGTTTTCGTCCGTTTAATAATCATCATACTAATTATTGAAGCTGACGCGTTTTTGAAGTCCTGTTGTTAAGTACTCCATGTTCGCTACTCAAATTCGTGACTAGTTTGCACCATCTGATAATTTTTTTAAAATGACTTTATAGCTCACTGTAGTAGTTTTCTAAAAGTTGAAGCAAACGTTCCTGCATTTGTGATGAAAATTTTGCTGTCCTTTCAACTGAGTCATTGTGGTTACCTGACGCGTTAGCGGCGCAAATAGTGGAGATAGACCACATTTGATTTGTTAGCACTTACGGTATCCCTCTGTTATTGTGGTCGTAGTGGGTGGTAGTGTAATGTATTAGGCTAACTGTGGTTTATGTGACTGTGTAAAACGAAAGCATAATTCTCGTCGACAGGTCTTTCATAACAGTGTTCAGTAATTACTTCTGGACACTAGGTATCTAAATATTTATTAATATATAAACTCGTGCTGTAAGAATATTGTAGTGTCTTAAAGTATCACTTGTGTGACATTCTACATTATTGAGTTAGGCGCAAGAGTGTGTAAATCTTATTTAAAAATGTTCTTTCTGATCCAATCGCCTATTTATCCCGTAATCTGCAGAAGTAATTGGATTTATGAACTTAATATTTTCTCTTAGTTTGAAGCTCCGAAAAATCCTGTATGGATTGGTTTGTACATCGAGGAAAATAGACTGCTTTGGGCGTCTGGATATCCCTCAGTACCCCAGATTTTTATTTCCAACCAGCCCAAACTTTTTGAAGGATGCGCTGCGTCTAATGTATGTAAGTGCAAACTGGTTTTTGTGTTCGACACCAATTCCTTGCTGTATTGTTCATGTCTTGCATTGTAATTGTTTTAGTAACTAAAGCATAGTATCCAACTTACTTACCCCAGCATAATTAACCCAATTATAAATATTCATGCTTTGATTCGTGGCATTATACTAACTGCTATGACGAGAGTGAGTTGTTTTTTAATCAGATTTGGGGAGTATATTTGAGATTGATCTACATAAAAGTACTTTCTTTTACAGCTTCCGGGAATATTTCGACTTGGGAGTTCATTCCATGTGATACAAAGTTGGGTTTCGTGTGTGGTCATGTCCCTAACATATCCTATCGTTATCCATTTACTGATCCAAAGTCTCTCACTTGTCCACCTGGGTACAAACTGTTTGATAAAAATTGCTACTTGGTGAGTCAATAAGTTTTATTGGGCGTTTTTTAAGTGAGTTAAACTGTTTGTTCATAGAACAGGCATTTTTATTGTTTGGTCCAAATTGAAACTTTCATCTCCCTAATTATCGCACTTCATAGCTTGAGAATTCTTTTTTGCTTACGAATACGTGTTGTGAAACATATCATGAAAATTCATCTAAATCCTTTCATTCCTTGGTAAAGATTTAGGAGTTACAGCAAAGTTCCTCTAACCCTTCTCGTCGTTAACTACTTATTTGCAGTTAGAAAACAAACTAATGATGTCCCTGTATATAGTATTCTTCCTTACTCTTACCATGTCACCATATATATTTTGCTTAAAGACGTTCATGTGATCACAGGGACCTAGTATTAGATGTTTGCATGTTCATTCTTCCTGTACTGTAATATCTCATGTAACTGCTTCGCCTTCCATTGTGGCATTTGATCTTAGTGTTCAGATGTGTTCGTTTTTCTTGAAGAGCATACACGAAGGATAGCATCTTGAACCATCACGCAGTAGTGCTCAACCTTACGACTGTATTTCTGCCATTTATTCAGTTAATTAGTTGATACTCAGTTATTTGGGATTTTTTATATGAAGAGGCTTGGTACCATATCTGACCTCCCGTAGAAACAATAGTAAAACACTCCAAAACCTTCAACTGCAATTTAATATAAGCTATTGGAATACTGTAGCTGCATCTGACCTGATTCATACACGGAGACATTCATTAGGATCACAGACAATAAGGTTGATAGTCACTTAGAGATAAATTTAATAAAAACTCTCAGCAGAGTTTGTGAATAATGATGGGTGAATAAGGCATAAAATGTAAAACAATAGTGAAACTGCCCAACACCAAGCAAATACTTGGTCTTATCAAGACTTAATTCTGCGACCATTGCTCAAAAAAAAACAGAGAAAAATTATCCTTACTCTCTGAAAACCACACTGCCGACCTTATGTCGCATCAAGAAGGAGGCCTCACCAGTCACAACTCTGCCAACACAGACACCAAATATACCTTGTATCCTTGCAACAAGACGCTGTTGTTATTCTCCAAAGTCCACTCAGTCAACATAAATTTAGGGAATTTCTTCTATGGCTGTCAGGCAGATTCTTGGCATATTTTTCGATGATTTTTGGATATACGGATATAATGAGGCGTAGGAGCAGAAAATCCACTGACCGACTGGACTCCAGATTACAATCCTTTGTGTGCTGTCTGGTTGAATGTCTCCGTATGAAAAAGGAAAGACCATCATACTCGTGGGTGGCTTTTCATAATTTCCGATTACAAACCTGATAACTGCAGTTTGAACGAAACAAAGGATGCACCTTAGCTGAGGCTATCTAGTTTACGACAAATACCAAAGCAGTAGGTACAAGTCACCAGCTACTTAGGCTCATCAAGACGAGCTGTAAGAGACGGGTAAGTGAGACAATTTTTGACGAAGACAAAACTTCAGTATCTCGATAGGATTCACATCTGAAACGACAGATCGAACACTTTAGGAAGCAGTCCAACTAGCCTAATGATGCATTGCAGTTGCTTATCACCAACCAGTTCAACCTCAGCCTGAATGCTAGGTGGATAGCTGCTCCCCTACCATAACTCAGGTTGTACAAGGTCTGTCAACAGTCTGAATGGAAGCGAAGTGACGGGATCTGATATTTTGGCTTCGGGTGTGCTTCAACGTGATGGTGGCGAATTGTGTACTAGACTAAATAAAGTGTAGAATATTGTATGAGTTTCTGAGTCTGATTAAACTGGGTCATGCCGTATTTCACTTTAGTTTGTGGAAACACAATAGAAATTTTGTAAGATGGTGACAGTAGTACCAGTTTGATTCGGCTTATTGTATATGCAAGACTGTGGTTCGTAGTCCTACAAATATTAAGGGAGCTTCTTGAAAAACAGTCCAGAAAACTAGCTTAGTTTGTAGCGTGGATGTAGAGGCATTGATCATATCTTCACACCTCGATGGAACCTTGGTATACTGTACTCCTTCACCTGAACGTGGAATTCGTCTGCGTCAGTCGAAAGAAGTAGGGGCAATATCTAACCTGCACTAAAAAACCATGTCCTGCTAAATCTGTGTTGTTGGTTAAGAGCTTGTGAAGAGTTATCATCTGATATAACTCCCAGAAGGCTTCGTTATGTATGCCCAATCTCTGTTCTAATTTGATTTGATGGTAGATATAATGGAGGATTTGTTTCTTCAGGAATCGATTTATGAAATATTTTGCTGATTTAGAGTACGTAGATAATATAGTCTCTTTTAACTGAAGATACTGACTAAATGCCATTGACCAAAGACTTAAAACTCTGTGTGGTATTGATGAAAATCGTTTGCAACGTTCCAGATGTATGCATTTTGTATCATCATATAGATAAGTTCAACTTACTTCCATTTGATTACTTTCTGTGTCACATCTGTGTTTGTTTGCCTGCAGTATCTTTACGTTTCTGTCCTCTTTTTAGGTGTTTCTTTTGTATGACAGATTGAGCTGATACACTTTCACAGAGATCTAAGTTGTTTTGTTTGCTAGTTGATTGATTAGTCAAAATTTTTATTCCGTGGATGTAATAAATAAGTGCTGATTTGTCAGAATACATCATGTCCCTAATTTTTTGTGTTTATAGGAATTATTCAGTAGACTTTATTGTTTCTTCCTTGTTTTTCATTTGTTTATCGCTGATTTTTACTTTCCCCGGCAAAGCTAGTCTCTGCACTTTTGAGTCAGACTCAGAAATGAATGTTTTGATCAGTAAAATTATTCAGCTTAGTTATTTTTCTACTTGAATTCTTTCAGCTCAACGAGGATCCCACTCACAGGCTAACATGGGAAGAGGCTAATAAATGGTGTGAAACTTTAGACCCTTCAGCTTCTCTTGCTACTATTGCATCACCTATGGAACAAGGTTTGTTTACTCCGTATTTTTTTAAAATTTTTGACTAGCAAGTTGTTAAATAAAGTGATTAAAAGTGCTATACATACAATTTCTTATAAATGAATGTCTACGATTGACAAACTCAGTTGTAGGAATGCATATAAGTGGAGTACAGTTAATTCTATCCTTGTATCGAATTCTGCAGTTCGTACTCTCTAATATCTACATCATAGGGTTAAAGTCATTGAAATCACTACTCGTGTTATGTTTGATTTTGTGTATAAAATATTTTGGTTTATTGTTATTATTGTCTCTCTTATCTTCATCATAGTTCACCATCTCTACATTTCTTTGATTCACCAAGTGGATTTTTTTTACAAAACTGTCACCAAATGTGATATCTAACACAGTTATTTGTGATACCAAGTATAAGATTCAAGTTTATCGCCTGCACCGCTCACAAATTGATGCAAACAGAACAGTTGATATATTTGCCAACAAAACTGGGAAATTCTTTTCTTGATTTGTTCTCCATCTCAGATAACCACACATATGATATCACGTTAAAGTGCTACGAATCATCATTTCATCTTTCATTTCAAAATTTAGTTCACCGTGGATCTATTTACCGCAATCATCTTCCTAGTGCTACCAGGCAAAAGCATAGGATTCGATTATTATTTTGGCCAGAATATGTCAGTTTGGTGTGTCATGTGTCACCGAATTGCAAAGTACCATTAAAATATAGACAAAAACCTCTTGAAACGATAAAATAGTCCGTCTATATCTGAAGTATGGTGGACCAGATTTCTATCCGTATATCGAAAAAGGAAACAATATCCACAAATCCTGATCATATTTGTGGATGTTAGAAAGTTAGTCTGGTGGTAAATGATCAAGCTTTCAAAATTATAATACAAGCAGTTTGGTTGAACATTTGTGTAACCTAGTATTCCCATCCCTGTCTTATGATATCCTTAGTATCATATACATCCATTTGTAACATAATGCAAATAATTTTGAGATCTAGCAATGTGTTTTAGAACTATGGTTATCACCTGACAAGTTATGGCATATTGGGACACTGGATTGGCTGGCTTATCTGTGTGTTACACACAGCATACTATTAGCAAGCAATGTAGAGATAATGGTCTGTTGTCGTCAAAAGAATCTGATTTCATGCTATAGCTTTCTCACTTCTATAATCACAGTGCAGTGTAAAAGTTGAAAAAATTTTGGCGGACATCTTTAGAGAATACTCTCCTTAATTCTCTGCTCTTTTTTGAGTGTATGCATATTGCATCACTTTGCATCATTCATCTTTCAGCACAATAAGTTTTATATCGCTTTCATTTCATCGTATAAAGGTATGGAATATACAAAATTCTCTAGCTCGAAACATCAACATGCCGGTCAAATTTCGTTTGTATTTCATTAGGACAAATACTCTGTGGTGCGTGTATTGACGGATCGTCTACTTCTTACTTCAGGTTATAAAGTCGGAACGATAAATAACCCCATACAGGCAAGGATGACTAGAAAAGTGTGTGAAAGTTGCTACAACGAGAGCAGTTTTACAGAAGTGTTTGCAGATGGTAAAAAAGAAACGTTTGTATCTAACCCAAAAATCAATAGCCGAGACATTCCCCCAACACTACGTGTAAATTTAATAGTTACATAATTTTAGCGCAGATGAAGGATAAACTACCGAGTTTAGCCACCATACTGCATTTGTAAATTTAAATACTCTCCTGAAGACAGTCACATAGATAGAACAGTTTTGCAAGCTCGCCGTCACTTTCTAGAATATTATCTAACATGACTAGAAAAAAGAATAATAAAGTCAATCAAGAGCTCTATATCGGCTGATCTAGTAGGCAAACAGCATTAGATTGACAAAATTTCCGCATTTGTAATGTATATTCATTATTACCACATTTTTATAGACGCCTTGTCCGTAATCATTGCTCACTCCCCTCATCCGGTGTGGATTGGTATGTTTCTTAGTCAAGATGAGCGTAAATGGGTTACAGGAGTTGCTGTCAATTTTACAAATTGGTATCCCAGCAAAATTCACGGTACTGATAAGGTATGCATGTGAATATTTGTTTTTATATTCAAATACTTGTATTTTCTTAGTCCTTATTTTTCGAAATTTAAGTTTGTGTTCTTCGGGACTACTTTTGACTTTCATTAATTTCTTGTCTGACTGTGAGCTGGTTATTTAGTTTTAGTTCATTTAGTCGCAACAAATTTTTCGTTTGTCAGGCTGTGTTCCACACATATCGTTTAAGGATTGATGATATTAGCTAGTTGTCCAGAGTGAAGTAGGTGGAGCCTGGCTTGAACCCGGGACGCATTATCTGAGAGTTAAGTGGTTAAAGTAGAAACTGAATATAGATGACCCGCTAATTTCTTCCTTTCCTTAAAGCATTGGCTTATCAGCATAAAATGTTTACTGTAAGCTTGTGTATTATGATTTGAAACTTTCTGGCCAACCAAGCTTTTATCAGTCAAATATGGTCGGCTTACAGTAAGTGATCGGTCACTCGCAGTAATGAAGCCAGGATACACAAACATCTTTTACACCATACTATGCAGCTTGTATTTAAAACTGTGTTGAATTTCACCAAGTAAGTGGGGAGATTATAAATAAGTAAATAAAGTCAGATAACTGACATTTACTAATTTCCACCTGTTTATTTCCTCCTGAAACACTCATTACATTGCGTCAGACATCTTTCAGATAATAACACCGTTATGTGATAGAATTCAATGTATTCTTCACGGAATGTACATACAATTATTTCGCTTTTAGGAATGATTTACTGGAGTGAAAATTCTCTTCTCTTTTGCTTCATTTTACGATACAATATGGAAATATTTCGTTTTTTAAAGTTAGATAATTTTGAGTATATTAAATACCTCTACTATTTTCTCTGCAAATAAAGTGGTACGTTTTTATTTACCATTACAATTTTTAGAGCCCAACAACCCCTAGCACACTAATACATTAAACAGTAGGCCACGCTTACTGTATCAGTTTGAACCACATGTCAGCTAGTTGGAAGTGGGATGACTAGATCGATGAGCAGACAAATATGTTAAATACTACGCAATCTGTATGAAGATGTGGCTCATTGGCTCAAGAACTCGACTTTCAGTCTGTCGGTATCCAGTTTGAGTTTTGCTGTACCTACTTCAGCCTGCGTAGTATTATTATCTCCTACACAATAGGTGTGACTCGTAGCTTAGTACATGGAAAATCTGATCTGGGCAACTAAGTTATAACCAACTAACCTGTAATCTAGAATTGTTAAGGTGCTTTCACTTATTCCGTATGTATTTTTATTAAAGATATTAGTAAACATATTCACTCGTGCAAATGAAGTTAGGTGAGGTGCATTAGGTAAGGATAAAAGTCAATCATTGAGGTTGTGAAATCACATTGATTGATATGACAAGGATATGTGTTACGCATGCCGAGGTATCGCTTACGTTGACGGGTAATATTAGCTGATGTAGGATTAGGTTGAAAAAAGAGTTAGGGATTGTTGAAGCCAAAACCTACCACCGATGTGTAAAGTTGACTGTTGGTTTGCGCCAAATAGGGAGATGTTTCCTGTCTGGCTGAGGTTCTTAGGATGCTAACAGTGAATGTTTGGAAACTGTTGGTGACATGGTTCGAAATCGTTCTCAATAGCGTGGATGCATTCACTTTGTCTAATATACCAGATCCACTAAGTCTTCATTATTCTGCATGCAATTAATCTTTCTCATGTGCATTTTTTTTCAAAAGCTGTAGTTTCTTTACATTTCTTTTCCAAATTTTTATGTGCTTTTATGAAGTGTGGCAACTTGAACTGCTGCGCTTTAGTGGAAATCATGCACTTGTCTGTAATTCAATTTATCCACTGTTATATGCTGTTGTAATACCGTATCGTGTAGAAACACATTTTTATGTATTCCGTATCCATCGCAAGGTAGTTTTTATTGACTTGTTTTTATTTTTCTTTTTTAAAAATTGTTTATGATAATCATTTAAGCGGTTATGCACTATGATGTACCAACGTCCATCACATCTTGGACAATGGGAGGAAGTAGATTGTTCTTTTCAATTGAATTATGTGTGTCAAGTTGCAGCTAAACGTAAGTACACATGTTTGTTTATACGATGTATAATTTAGCTATTGATTGACAATATCGTTTTGTTTTCCATTCATTGGGAAATACAAAAACCGCTATTATAATGAATATCATATACCCAATGCCCAAATTTTTTCAAACTGTTAAAAGAATAACTTCTGTTCAAAATGCGAAGCTAGTTATCGATTTGATCGGTTGCCTGATGATGATTCCTTCAAGGTGTACATCTCAAATAATAGACAAAAATGGGTAGCACACTGTAAAACTATATAGTTTTGTTTAGTGGTGCTGTAGCTCATTGGACTTCTAACCACTTCATCACAGCAGCCAGGTAGGTATCACTAGCTCTCACCGAATTGATGTCAACTGGATAGAATTACAGGTGGTTGTCGGGTAACACCTCATTTTCTTTCCACTTCTGTACGCATTCATGTTCATACACTTTTCACATCATATGCATTAATTTAATCCGATGGCGATAAATGGAACATCACATCTGTTATTCACAGTATTAAACTTACTAGTGCGATTTATGCATATTCATTTTTTCCCAATGGTTGTTGTTAGTTAACCACAATTTGAAGTAATTTTATCATCATTAACCATTTTGACGGCAGGATGTTAACGGGGAACCGAGGTGAACAGTATTGTGTAAAAGTCAGGAACTACTGGGAATGCAAAATTGACGTTGTCGCTAAAATGTCTATCTACTAATGAAAGTAAATGAATATTCCATAGTCAGAAAGATAAGCTGAAGTTGAATTTCTTCGTCACGCGAGTCTCCTAAGAGTAAATGAGGAGTCAAATTCTCACCATCTAAGATGACAAAAACAGTAATTGTGTAGGGAAAAAAAACCTGAAATAGGTCCAAAAATCGGATGCATATTTTTCGACTTCTTTATGCTGTATGTGTATGCAGATTTTCCTGTGCACGATGACTGGTGTTTGTGACTACTACGTAGCTTGGTGTTGGTTTTTTTAGCTGATTTTCATAGATCTTATCAGCAATCATTTCAATCGATAAGGCAGAAAACATGCAATCACCAAGGTATGTTTTGCATCGTGACCTTCTATCCAGAACTAAATGTTTTAGCTTAAAATATACAATGATCTCCTGGACGAAAGTGGATAGCAAATCATTTACTCACTGCTTCAGTGGGCTAGAAAACATATGCACAATAAATTGCTGCAATTCTGGAGGGAGTCATTTGTTGAATACTCCTGGTTTATACTTCTCATAAACCATGATAATAAATGATGCAATGACTAATATTCCTAAAATGTTGAGTGAAGTTAGGTACTGCACTTTTATCTGAGATTCTACAGGAGTCAAACTTGGAGTATTCTGAGAAAAGTAGGATTGAGAAAAGAGGTTGTTCAATATTGGCTTCCGTTCCACCATCCTCGTGTGTCATTAATGTTTTGTAAGTCACTATCTATACTGTTTGCTACACACTACTACACAAAATCAAACCTTATGGCATTATTACTGAAGTGGCCCGATAGTAGTCTATTTCGGATTCTTCCCAGATAGTAACCGTACGCGTTTATTAATTGCCGTTCTACAGTAACAGCATGATAACAGATAGCAAGTCATTCAAATATTTACGTCTAGGATAACCAAAGATCAGAATAAATGCTTTCGACTAATCGCCTTACTGTTACTGAAGTGGGTAATATTCTACGCCTAGTCTCATTATTAGTGACCATATCATTCCACCTAACAGGGGAGATTATAGAAAGGCACGTATGATGAAAAGATCCTTAGCCTTCTCATATCTTCCACCTTTGACCGTGACGTGTCTCAGTCGTGGAGTAGGACAGAGCGAACTGTCGCAAGATACATATGCCTTTCAAGAGATAACCAGATTACATGTGGGCACTAAAAATGACACCAGCTGGCGAATACACAAAGAGCCTTTTGTATGTGCGGTGAGATTTTGTCAGTAACCTCTCTGATAAAGTGGCGACCGCCTCCAACCCAGACGTCAGAGCTAGCCATATTTAAGTGCATTTGCGGTTCATGAGCCCCACATGATACTTATAGGAATATGAACCCCAGAATCTTGCATACACTATATGTCAAACTGATCACATTATCTTTGTCTCAGGAAGCGTATGATGATCAACGACTAGTTCGATGGGTTTGTCTGAGATCCCCTTGCGCTATTGGATACCTTAGTTATTCTAGGACACAATTCGCCACCATCACGTTGAAGCACACCCGAAGCCAAAATATCAGATCCCGTCACTTCGCTTCCATTCAGACTGTTGACAGACCTTGTACAACCTGAGTTATGGTAGGGGAGCAGCTATCCACCTAGCATTCAGGCTGAGGTTGAACTGGTTGGTGATAAGCAACTGCAATGCATCATTAGGCTAGTTGGACTGCTTCCTAAAGTGTTCTATCTGTCGTTTCAGATGTGAATCCTATCGAGATACTGAAGTTTTGTCTTCGTCAAAAATTGTCTCACTTACCCGTCTCTTACAGCTCGTCTTGATGAGCCTAAGTAGCTGGTGACTTGTACCTACTGCTTTGGTATTTGTCGTAAACTAGATAGCCTCAGCTAAGGTGCATCCTTTGTTTCGTTCAAACTGCAGTTATCAGGTTTGTAATCGGAAATTATGAAAAGCCACCCACGAGTATGATGGTCTTTCCTTTTTCATACGGAGACATTCAACCAGACAGCACACAAAGGATTGTAATCTGGAGTCCAGTCGGTCAGTGGATTTTCTGCTCCTACGCCTCATTATATCCGTATATCCAAAAATCATCGAAAAATATGCCAAGAATCTGCCTGACAGCCATAGAAGAAATTCCCTAAATTTATGTTGACTGAGTGGACTTTGGAGAATAACAACAGCGTCTTGTTGCAAGGATACAAGGTATATTTGGTGTCTGTGTTGGCAGAGTTGTGACTGGTGAGGCCTCCTTCTTGATGCGACATAAGGTCGGCAGTGTGGTTTTCAGAGAGTAAGGATAATTTTTCTCTGACTTTCTTTGTGAGCAACAGTTACTCAGTTAAGAGAACATATGCCATGGTATTCGTTTAGGAGAGTAGGTAAATTTTGATGGAACCATATAGTCAAACAGGGACTGTGATTAAGAAAGGAACTGTATATTTTGAAGAATTTCATATCGTGAAGTAAATCTTCACGTCAGAATTATGGTGCACTTGATTTGGTGTTCTATAATAAGCAGGATCATTCTTCGACTTGGGGTGTGCTGTGTATGTCTTCTTTCTTTGTATTGCTGAGCGAATATAATCTTCGAGCTGAAGAGGTGTAAATCCTGTGTCTCGCTTATTGCTTCTTACACTTTGAGTTGAAATCAAATGCTAGCAAATGAGTAGACCGGTTTCTCAGTTTGATCCTGTTTGAAATCCCACTGTTGAGTAGTTCATTTTGTAGTAAGGTTGTGGTGAGGTGATACAGACAATGTGTTCCAACGGAATATTATTCTCACATCTTCCCACAGTTCAATTCGACATTAGCAACAGAATACTTTATATATATATATATATATATATATATATATAATAGAGAATATACCTTGGCTTCCGTGCCTTGCCGTCTGTTCTTACAAGGTCACCGACACTTTATGTAACAGTGTCATCCTGATTAATACTGCTTACTGTTAAACTCCCTTTTTCTACTTTTATGTTCCTACGTGCCAACTAGTTTATTCATTTCTCATTTAAATGGTATCATATTTCGTTTTTTTTTAATTATAGCTAAAGGTCTAGCCAGCAGTACTCCTCACACATCGAGCATCTTAACTCAAGGCGCATGCAAAAGTAGCTACTATGAATACAATCATCGTTGCTACCAGTTATACTTGGGAGAAAGTGAAAAAGTTGACTCTTGTGGTGTCAAATTATCACCATATTCCAGTGACGAATCTGCTTTCATGCGTCTACTCTTACAAACTACACCCAATTTGTCAATTGACCGAGCGTGGACTGGAGTTTCACTTGTATTTGATATAAATTCAAAGTCGAAGGTAAATGGTTTAGTACTAATCAAAAGTTGTGGCAATTTTGTTTTTCACCTCAGTGTGACATATCCATAATCAATGCATACTATGAACAATCCGAAACACTTTATAAAATGGAGTTACACATAGCTACTACCTTAAACACGATCAGGGTGTAGGGTTTTTCGATTAATACCTATTGGAGTTTAGTGAGGTTGTGGTTTCACAGTTCTGGCGTCCATTTACTGATTTTGGATTTGTGTATACGAATTCCGTTCTATATTTATTGTAATATCAATTGCGATACAATTCATATAAATTATAGCTTAGTGCATATATATATATATATATATATATGATGACGCCACTACTGGAGAAGGTGTGGAAAGAAGGCAAAGTACCCGAGGATTGGAAGAAAGGATACTTATTCACACTACCAAAGAAAGGAGACCTAAGTCAATGCAAGAACTGGCGCGGAATTATGCTCCTGTCCATCCCAAGCAAAATACTAAGCCGCATCATCCTGGGGAGAATCAAACATGCCCTGGATGAAAAACTTCGACCGGAACAGGCTGGATTCAGGAGAAACAAGTCATGCATTGATCAGATCGCCACATTACGGATCATCATTGAACAAAGCTTGGAACGGCAGTCGCTTCTCTATCTTAACTTCATCGACTTTGAGAAGGCCTTCGACGGCGTCGATCGAGAGGTGCTTTGGAAACTACTTCACTACTACGGGGTGCCACCGACAATTATACATCTCATCCAACAGCTATACGACAATGCTGCATGCCAAGTAATCCACAACGGGAAACTTATGGAACCCTTCGAAGTGAGGACAGGAGTAAGACAAGGCTGCCTACTATCGCCAATGATTTTCTTTATTGCAGTAGACTGGATAATGCGACAAACAGCGGGCAATGAGGAAACAGGCATAAAATGGACTCACACAAAGAACTTGGAGGATCTGGACTTCGCCGATGATATATGTCTGATTCCCCACAAACTGGAAGATATGCAAGCGAAAAGCAACAAATTGGCAGAAGAAGCATCCAGAGAAGATAGGACTTTAGGTGAACATAGAGAAAACAGAGGTGATGAAGATTCCTGGGCACCACCAACAGCAACAACAACAACAGACAACCATCAGCATAAATGGAAGGAACCTGAAAGAAACAACCTCTTTTACCTACCTGGGAAGCATTGTTTCAACTACAGGCGGAACTGACGAGGATATCAAAGCAAGAATCGGAAAAGCAAGACAAGCTTTTGCTACTCTCAAGTCTATGTGGAGGTCAACAACACTTAGCATCAAAACTAAGATCCGGATTTTCAACTCCAAAGTGAAGTCAGTCAGTGCTACTATACGGATCAGAGACTTGCACTGCGCGTCATAAAGAGCATCTCAAACAAACTACAGACCTTCATTAACAGTTGTCTTCGCTCAATACTCAAGATCAGATGGCCAGAAAAGATCAGCAACAGGGATCTTTGGGAACGAACCAACCAGGAACCGATTGTGAAACAAATAGGCAGGAAGAAATGGAGATGGATTGGCTGGCCATACTCTTAGGAAACCATCAAGTGACATCACTAGACAAGTCCTTGAGTGGAACCCGAAAGGGAAGCGGCGAGTTGGTCGTCAGTGCAAGGGTGACTTGGAGGAGGTCATGTGAAGAGGAGATGAAAACGTGTGGGCAGACATGGAGCCAGGTGAAGATTCTAGCAGAGAACCGAACGCAATGGAGACGCACGGCTGAAGCCCTATGTTCCTGTAGGAATTAAAGGATACAATAATAATTATTATATATATATATATATATATATATATATATATATATATAAGCCGATTACCAGATCGTTCTCTTATTTACTCTTACTTTGCACATACTCTCATTATCAGTGGGATTACAAAACAGAGAATAATGATGTATTTTATGAGGCCATGGTGCACAACTTCTACAACTTGTCGTACATGAAAACGTTGTCTTCATCTTCTCCTCAAGAAATTCGTTTGTGTGTTTCTCTTAATCGTGATAATGCAGTTATGGATGTGCTGAATTGTTCACTCAAGTTGCCATCAATATGTGGATATTCTTTGGGTAGGTTTTGGTAGTTTTTACTTTGTTTAATGTTTAACATAGAAATGATAAGACATAGGAAATAATTTTCTGTCTGTCTAAACTGACATTTGCCTGGTCGTGTTATCTTTACCACCGACTTGATACCACCCAAAAGATGTGTCGATTGCATAGCTTTCCTTTCTCCTCATCTTAATGTTCGGAAGACAGCGTCTGAAGGCAGAAAAGTGAAGAAATTTCAGTTTTACGACCACAAATACTTTCGTTATTTTGTTCATTTTAATCGAAATAAGAGGGTAATATAACGACTAGACATGGCTTTAGGTGGGGAAGGTAAATCAGTCAGTAAAAGTATAAAACTTCATTAATTCAAGTTGCATTGCAAGAAATGCACTACACAAGTTATCACATTCCATGCCGAATAGTACTAACTGAATTACAACTGGCTTAGAGCATCTTTTGAGGTGATCAGATTGACACATGAAATCACTCCATGAAGTCACTAAGTGTTGGTCTGAATCAGGTAGAGAAGTGAAGGTTTCCTGGCTAAAGTTCCTTGGTACCCTAGATATCGGTAGCTGAAAATTTTTTCTGACTTGGTTCAAAATTGTTCACACTGGAGCAGGTGTATTCACTCACTGTTATATTCTGGATTCTGAAAATCTTCACAAGCCTTCATTCAATTATTCTCTCCGTTACGTCCATGTTAGCCTATCCTAGTATCTCTTTTTCCTGTTCTTTCATGTGTTTATTTTATATGTAACAACTTGAGCTTATGCAGCATTGTGTAAGTTGCTATTTTGATTGATCGATCTGTCAGTAAATCAAAAGTCAATACGGAAAAGAACGATTTACGCAACCAATTCTACACTGGTTTCTTTCTTGCATCCGTTGATTTCAAACTTGCGGATTGTTATAAAAGGGAAAAAATTTAAATCCTTACACTTCAACAGTAAACTGGGTAAAAATGTTTAAAATAAATAGAGTATAAAGAAATATCAACTCAGTCTTTCAAATCACACCGAATGTTGCGACTAGAATGTTTTTAAAAACTCTGATTGTGAAGAATATTACGTCAGAGAACATTTAAGTGACAGCAAAGGTTACTCAAAGTTGGGTAGTGACAAAAAATGTCAATCAGCATTGTATTTGTTTGTGGGTCACACACAAAGAGTTGCCTATCATTGTATTCTGATATCTCAGAAACCATTGTAGGGAACTCAAATTTCTTTGACCTTCCCATTGTGTTCATGTCTATTGTTTTCCATTCCTTTAAGTTTCCAGTGGAACATAGAGCTTCAAGCTGGAGACTTGAAGTTCCGGTAGCAGTGGTATTTATTTTTATAGGATGGGGTTGCTAGCACATACCCAACTTTCCCTCTTTACCAGCCTTATTACTGGCTTAGTGAGAGGTAAAGGAGTGCGTTGGCCGGGGATCGAAACCCTAACCACATGTGGGATTGGCGAACATTTTGCCACCGACGCACTGTGTTCTTGTCTACTACTATTTATCTGTTGTTTTTGTGATATGTTGAGTGTCATCATCATTCTGCAGTGCAGCTGGCCTGATCTCAGTTTACTTCAGTGCTGTTATTAGTCTAGATAGGCCGAGAAAATTGCCACTCATGCATAAATATGAAGTGTATGTGTCTCGAAGTGCACTTACATTAGCGTTTATTCACGTAATCATTTCGTCAGTGTGTATGCATTCATTATAAGTTCACCTGTAAAAGTAATCGAATTATCCATCATCTTGTTTTGCGTTGTAGTGATGTCTTTTGTCTTTGCTTTAAAGAAACTTTAATCTTCATGTTCTATTGTACAAGTTCAGAGTACATGGTGTGAATCGTGCAAATAACTGAAGACTTGATTCAATGTTTACTATTTAATAATTTATCAATCTCTTGTTATCTTTGCATACAATGGATTAACATTTTTATATAATAAGTATTCCATTACACATGTTCATAAAAATAATAGTGATAGTGTAGTCTTGTTTGTTATTATGTATATTAAGTTTTCACTTGTTTTGTGTTTATCGTATACAGATGTTTCCGTTTGCTACTACAATACATATATATATACGTCATTGCAGTGTTCTCTGAGCTTTTTAAAAAGACGCTTGGGTATTCAAAATGATAAATAAAATAAAATAAAATAATAAAATGGGCTTTTTCGCAACTAATAGCGTACATGTACTTATCAATTCAACTTCATTATTCATCATCTATTTACTGAAGTGATTGTGCATGGTGATCTTACTCAATGTACGTATCGGTCAATCTGTCACAATAGTTACAAGTGATGCAACAACACTTTTTTGGAATAATGCCGTTATTACGATTACAAAATACTGCGAATGTAAGCGGCGAATGTTGACGAAGTCTCGCTTGTTATAATAATAGTCGGTTGTATACAAATTTTAAGCCTAATCAGCAAACACATGTCTCAGTTATTTTATTTCATTTTGCATAATTGCCTGTCTCGATAAGTTGAGTGGTAATAAATCGTTAGCTTCAACGCAATGGAAGTAATATCAACTACGTCAATCTTTTGAAAATCGGTATTAGTATTTCTAATGTTTCACGTTATTTTCCTATTTATGTTCAGCGAATTCTTTATGCCATTGTGGATAAAATTTATTGTGAAAAAATCTCAGTGTTATACAGTAATATTTACTAATGACGTTTCGAGCACAATATATTGCTTATAATCATTATAAGTTACTCACACAACTTTCCAACTTCGTTTATATGATTCCACTATTTCTCATCTCTTAATATGATTGGTAGTAATATTTTCCATATTTCTGGTGTGAGTGATGACTCATTCCTATTCTACGTGCTAGATTCTATGATCGAAGATTCAGTAATCACCCATACGGTATGAAAAGTATATCGTGCTAGGAAAGTAATCAGTAAATATTACTGTCTAACATTGTGAGACTTAATCAAAATAAATTTACCCCACAATGGAATTATACTATACCACAGTACACAATTTCTATTCTCATATCAATTCATTATGCCATTTTTCCAATCAAAATTTTTATATGTTTAGCTGGTTTCAAACCTACTAATATTTTGGAAAACGATGTCTCTTCCCTATCCACGTGTCCTAATCAATGGATTCAATTTGGTAGTAAGTGTTTCTCACCGATCCGTAGTCCTGCACTCACATGGTCTTCAGCTGAATTAGATTGTCAAAATTCTACTGATGTTGGACCTGTTGGTAAGGCCCATCTAGTATCTATTCACAGTCCACTTGAGCAAACGTTTATTAGTAATTTGTTCAGCGGGGTCGATATTTGGATTGGTCTACGTCTTGGCCGTAAGTCGTTTACTGTTGAAATTTTTTTGTTTTACGTGCATGCAGTCTATTTTTATTATTATTCATTCATTGCCTCCTCGGTGGAACCTAAGTCTTCAGCAGCACATCATTAATGTACTGTCGTCATTTTCATCTAGTTAGATTACTGCGGAAAAACGTGTATGTCCTATTCACACTATCTCTACCATGTCCATCCTTCGATACCCAACTCATCGATTCCTTTTCTGGCTCCACTCGAGGGCCTGGCATGCAATCTAACTTGGAAGTCTGCTCAGCGTATGTTTACTGCATCTCCATTTCCTTCTCCTTCAGTTAATATTACTGTACAACACTGTGTGATTTATCGAAATAAAATCTTATCCATAAAAGAGTTATGCTCTACCACAGTGCCCAAGTTTTATACTTATATCAATTTCCTTCTCCATATTTGTTGAACTGCAGGTCGTTGTCGTCTGAACGTAAGCGACATGTTCCTAGGCGATTCAAATACGTTAGAATCAATGTATCCAAATATTAATTCACTCATAATCCTGTCTTTTGAATAACTTAGCAACTTGCCGGTTACTTTCAGTCGTTGTCCATTTCACTGCCTACAAAAGTTAGTTGTGACCTCTCCTGGTTTACTAGCCGATCCTAAGTCTGGCGACTATCGACCCCACCCTGTACCGGAAAATTGAAGTGCAGTACTCAGTCTACATCTGTTGCATATGACTGAATGATAGATTTCAATCTTATTTGCATACACAGGATTTTATTGCTTTACATTACTATCGTCGTCATCACCAACTGGATCGATATTCTACACAATAACCGTAGTCATATTGTCTTATTCTTTCTTTCATAATCTAATGACAACATTTTTAGTTAATGGGCAGTATAAACGCTTGAGTTTTTCCTCTTTACAGAGGAATTGACACATGACAGATCGCAGCTGTGGAATAAATCTAGTCTCTACTGGGCTGATGAATCTTCGGTGAATTATCTGTCGTTTGCTCCTGGAGAGCCTAGCAGACATCTGTCAAATGGCCTTATCGAAAGTTGTTTCATATCGCGTGGTCGTGAGCATGACTGGAATGATGTCAATTGTCTTTCTCGTCACTTATATTTCTGTCAACTATCACTGAAAGCTCCGCATTCATCTAAATCAACCGATAGCCATATTCCAGGTAGGTGGTTCTGTTGTATTTTTTGTTGTTAAAAACACTAATATTGTTATTGACTGCTATTCTAGAATATTCTGTGTATTTAAGCATATATATGATTGTAGAGCCAAAAGAGGAAATTATCGAAAAGGATATTCTCTGCTCAATTATTATTTTTTTTATAGATGTCTGAATGAATATTTTCGTTATTGCTGTTGTTGGAACTACCATCATTATAGCCGATTTTCTGCTGTTTTCTATGATTTCTTTTTGTAATTTTTGAAGAAACTCTTCTGAATGATATTCTTTATGTATTTACGAGTTGTTATTCTGGGGTTACAATTTGACCTTATTTTTATTACTTTCAGTATCGTTTTTGTCCCTTCCTTCAATGGTCATGCGATTACTCTCCAGGTTATATACAGATTTGAACACCTGTAAACAAGCAGTGTGTTTCCATGCATTATTCTTTCTTAAGCAGAAGTTGTGCTGTATGTATGAGATACTACTTTTGTCGAGTACCAATGTATATTTCATCTCCAGTAGTAAATTAAAATTGTCGAACAATGTGCTCATTGAGAACCAATCGGAGCCTTGCACCATTTTGCTTATCCCAATTTAGGTGATCTGTTGTGAATACACTTAGTAAGCCTTTAAGCTCAATTAAGGATGAATACATATGTATATAATTTCCAGTCACTTAAATTTCTCACTATTGGTTTGATTATATTTGCTCATTTTGTTAAGGTGTACACACTATGCATTATTTTCACTATTGAGCATACCAATAGGAAGCGTAGCGTGGCATAACGGATTGTGTATAGCTAATTGATGTAAATGAATTGATCGATGATCAGATGGAATCAACAGCTACTTTAAGCACCGATTCTTGTACATAATTCAGTCTTGCACCGGCTGGTGGCCATACACTGAGTGGTGTTTGGCAAAGTCCCTGATGTCAGCAATGTGATTCAGATTGAAACTGAGAATGTTGCTAAATATGTCTTCTCAAGACTTCAAGTATGCCTTACTAATTGGTAACAACAAGTACAAAATTGTGAATAAGCAGAACTTGTTGCTCTCGCTATCTTAATGTGTAGTATATGTTTGTGGTAGCCTCTCCACCTAGTACTTTTCTGTCCTAGATAATTTTTTTTTCGTAAATTCTTTATCTTACGGACAATTGGAATGAACCTGGTCAGAGAATCCTAATCCACTAACCTTATATATTGTATACATTACCCAAAATCTCAGTTTGTCATTGTAGTTGCCTATTAAGTTCACTTTGACAGTAGTAATCCTAATACTTTTGCAATAATGCAATCCAACTCTGCATATTTCCTAATGTATTCGAAATGAATGTTTGAAGGGGTAGTGCTTTCATTGATGATTAGAAGACCGCAAGGCATATAATGAATGCAGTGGTACACTAAAAGGCAGCGTAAAACACACTTCCATCTTAACCAATACCGAGTAGTTAATATTACCTGGTGAGAACTACTTTTCTGTCTGCGTGTTTATCACTGCCTTGTTTCAGTATTATATTCACAGTATAAAGGAGTAATAAATTGTGTACCTATAGATGATGAAGTATTGTTTTGTGATTTTTATTCATACGAAATTATAATTTTTTGTTCGTTATTTTAGCAATAAGTGACAAAGAATCATGCACAACAATATCGAATATGCGTTATTGTATACGCTTTATTTCAACAGTGGCGACATTTTTCAAAGCAGATTATGAATGTCGCAGTTATAATATGAGTTTAGCGACTATTCCAAGTGAAGAGCATCAGAAATTTGTCATGAATAACTTGAAACAGGTATTCTGTTTGTATAATCAAGTTGTATTTTCAATTTTTCATACATTCTTTCCTGTATGCATACTTTAATAGGGACGTGAAGCACTTCTGTGCAACTGCTTAGTTTATTCGAATACAGTAGGTGTGTTTCTCCCCCAACAAAGATGACATATGTATCGTAGTGAATATCTAAAACTAAAGTGGTCGGCAGTTAAGGTTCTGTTGATCTTCAACTCTTTTGACGCCAGGCTATACCCTATTCTCAGTCCACCTACACCAGCATACACACGATTTCCTCTGAGTTAAATAGGGTATCAGTTTCCAGTGTATTCTATACTTTTCAATTAGCTTGTTTTTGAATATTAGGTTCTTTCAACTATTCATCTCTGCATTTCCATTATTATATAAGTTTTTGTATTTCCCAATGAATGAAAAACAAAACAAATATTGTTTTTGCTGACGTTCCGCTATTAAATGTTAATAGCTTTATCAAAGCATTATTAAACCAGAATTTGCAGAATCTCAGCTTACATACAACAACTTAATCATCTTTCTTCAGCATGAAGTAATTTTTTACGTTGTCAAATTGGTCAGTTGGTAAAGGTAACAAAACCATATGTGGATTGTCGGATAAGTATGAAACTATAAAGTAGCACGTGTTTACTGAATGAAATCTCTTATCACACTTGTGTTGTTTTTGTCACTTCATGGGGAGTGGTCTTGGAACCGACCTGCCTCACCTTCAACCTGCTGTACCCTGCTGATCACGGCTTCCCACTAGAACCCCAGGTTAACTGCCTGAATAAGGCCACTCGCTAGTGATCAGTAACTCATCGAAGAAGACATTGCGAAGTGGTCGCGCTATGCCATGAATTGACAGAAGTTCAAATTTGTGGGCCATTGGATAGGTACCTAGTGGTTTAACGGCATACGAGCTCGTCATATAACCAGAAGATCCTGGGTTCGAACCCCTGTGACGAACAGTCCCAAACTGGGACGGAGGAAACAGGTATGCAGTACTCCCTGCAGGTTTTCCAATGGTTCTCTAACTGATGTCAGCTTATGATGAAATCCCCCAACCAATCAAAAAAAAAATCCCTACAAACCAATACTTGAAAACAAACTAAATCCTTTAGAATCTGTCTTTTACATGCATAAGGTTGCTTTGTAGTGTCTGGTGTTTTGAGGAAAACTCTTATGTTGGGTTTTTTGATTACTCTTCTTGTATCTTCTGACGTTTCTGATCTATATAGAATGACAACTGTTGAGGGTCCATTTTTGCGGAATACGTTTTTGACCATGCTTAATATTGGTGGTGATTTTGATAATGAAGTTCTTTGGATAGTTTTTCATCGTTGAGCTTACCTAAGTCTGATTCTACTTCCAAAGTAAACTGAGATTCTGAGAGGTAGATTGTTCAGTTTCTCCAAGAATAAACTATGTAGGTCTCGTCTTAGTACAACGAAAGTATCATCAACGCATCTTAGCCATATTTTACGTGTATGGTAGAGATATTATCTTCAAATATATTCATGAAAAGATCAGCAGTTATTGGGGAAATGGGTGAAGCCATTGCTACACCGTTTGTCTATCCATATAAATTTCCTTTAAATGTAAAGTAATTAGTTTCCAGAAGGAATTTTAAGGTTTTAACTATTTCACTGTTGTCTAGTGGACATCTTTCTGATAAGGGTGTGTCTGATTCCAGCAAACTGAAAAAGATATCAAGACTTTCGGTAATGGGAATGCTAGTATATAGTGGAAATTCTTTTTGATATAAGCTATCATTGCTTTTATAAAGCTGTTACTACTGAATAGCGAAACGTCAGCAAAAACAACACCTTTTTGTTTTCCATTCATTCTGAAATAAAAAATCTTTATATTGACGAATATCATATACCCAATGCATGAATTTTTCCAAACTATTAAAAGTGGACTTGCTTTGGACTTATTTAATACCTCTGCATTTATTTATTTTCTTCACAAGTCTTATTAAATTTCCGTTTTGGTGTTGGGCGTTAGCTGCATTCCAAGTCTGCTGATTATTCTCATCCCTTCGATTTGATAATTTTGTACTTTCCTTATTTGATTCACTTTTACCATTCTAATTCCATTGTTTTTTTGCTTCGTCTGGGACAATCACATTGATTGTTGTTCATTCTTTTCAACGATGCTCCTAGTCCTTTTTATTCAACCGTATTCTGTCGTAGTATATTTTCCAAATGAGTTTGACCCGACCGTATTAACCAAGGTTTAGCGACTCTTGGATGAGTGGCTTGAGCACTCAACTGTCAGTCAAGAGTTCTGCGTTAGAATCCCATACCACTTAATTCAGTCACACAATAAGTGCTTCTCACATCCTGGTACACGAAGGACCTGTTTTAGTTAACTGAGTACCAACACAGGCTCTTGTCGATGTAGTTAAAAATTCATTGCAATAATGCGAAAGGCATCGTACACTATGGTCTTCTTAATTATGATATAGATTCTTATTTACACTATCTTCCCTTCATATCTTATAGCAGCCTACAGATGTTCTGCCGTCATTCCCATATTATTCCTTGTTTCACTCGCTGAAGCGAACTGAAATTCAACCTACAACAAAAGTGCAGCAGTTTAAGTTTGCTACACTACGTAAAAGCCAACCAGTTTCAACAAATTCATCTTAGTGTATTTTCATAATTTACTTTTTGACCTACCTATCAAAAAGTTCACATTCATTACCAAATTCTCATAAATTTAGTTTTTATGATTAAAAAAAATATTTTCCAGATGATCGGAGGGCGCATGGATATATCGCAGGTTTATATTGGTCTTTTCACTTCACAAGATAACATATTGTGGATATCTGGGTATGGTGCAGTACCTGTCGCTTACTGGCAATCGAAATTTCATGATGTCACCAAAAACTGCACCTATATAGATACAAGTAGGTTTCAACGTAGATTTTGTTTTATTGGGTTTCTTTTTAATACAAAAATACTACTGATTGTAACCTTTTATTCTGTAACTGCGATAGCGACTCGTCAGCGTTTCATCAGGTATCTGCTTAACCAACCATACTGATGCAAGTAAACTCGTAATAGCGCTCCTTAAATGTCTACATTCCCTCTTCATATTTTGTCAATTGTACAGATTGTTGTGCTAGTTGGGATGCTGTAAAATTGTCTGAGAGATTATTAGTTCGCCAGTGAAATTTTTACAGTCAAGTTACTGGTCTCACTTTATTGTCAAGATTACTAGTATCAATATACAATTATCTATTTCGTCAAGAAATATGTACTTTATGCTGATAACAATTCAAGGGTTTCGTTGCTAAAGTTACAACAACTCGCTCAGTATGTGGATGTATAGATATTCTTGGGGACTGACTTCATTTAAAAAAAAGATTGTCACGTTTCTTTTTATTTTTTTGTTTAAAAAGAAACAATATACTTCTAATTAGTTTTATTTTCGCGTCTCATCTATCCCTCTGATTTTTATTATAACCTACTTAGAAGTTGACGGTCTACAGACTTGGGGGACAACCGATTGTGCACGACCTTTACCATATTTGTGTTCATCCATTTTAACGCCCAAGGACACTTTATCTACCGGAGAAATCTACAAAAATATATCATTCTTAAATTGTCCCAAAGAATTCACTTTGATATCTGGAAGTTGTTTCATGGTATGTTACGTTTGTCATATTGTATTGAATATTTAGGAACCAACTTTTTTTTTAACGCTACTAAGTTAATGAAACTCTTGAGAGAAGTTCTAACTGCTCCAACGTTTTTCTTTTATGAAGATAACGTGTCGCTGTTTCGTCCAGTTCCTCTTTTAGTATAGAGTATTGCTTCTTGGTCTGACTGTTGTTGCTATTGTTGTTTAGTCTGCTTATCGAAAGAAATAGTATAAGATTATACATACATCAAGCAACAGTTCATATGTCAATAAGCTCTGTAAAAACAGCTGATTAAAGAGCGAAGTATGAAGAAAGATACGAGTCGTCGTTAATGGATTTTCCTTTAGAATGAAATAACACCCTGATTTTTCTAACGGCCTACTGCATTTTCTTCTCTTCACTGCTGAAATTATTACACAAGTAGCATTACTTACTGAGAACAGAATAAAGAGAGATTCAAAATAAAAAGAGAGAGATAGTAAACAGAAGTGTGAGTGAAAGAAAAAGAATGGTAATATGAAAACCAATAGAGTTCTATTGGGTATGACAAATCACAAATACTGAATGCATCTGCACTAGCCATTGAGTACGATTTTCAGCCAATCACCAATTGTCTAAAGCCTTCATTGGTTTTGACCATCCTGAGGACCCTAACCAAACAGTCAGGAAGTCTACACCTTCCTATGTGGTAGGTTGGCTGGCTGACTTAAACTAACTGTTGTGGATTTCATTGACTGATGAAGCCATGTTTCGGTTTGGCCACCACTATCTCCTTTTCAACATGACCACCCTGTGTCAGCTAACATTGCTCGTCAGTGAAGGAAGGCGATAGATGATTTCTAGGCATGCCTAACACATGTCCTAACCATCTGAATTTATGCAACTGATTCACAACCTGATCGATTGATTTCCTCTCCTTAGTTAGCACTTGAGGCTTAACCTCAAGTCACCCTCTTATACCACCTAACACGGTAGATAGAACGCAGATACCTATGATCAAAGACAGATAGCTAGTCTTTTCATGTCTTCCACTTTCAGTGGCCATATCTCATAGCCAAAAAGGAGGATAGAGCGAACTGCTGAGCAGTAAAAATCTCCTTTGGTCGAGAACCGGATATCACGTCTACTCAGAAAGCCTAAGTTGGCTGAAAAGTGCTAAACGAGCTTTCTGTATTTGTGCTGAGATTTCGTCAGCGATCAACCCGTTGGGGTTGATGCAACTTCCCAAATAAGTGAAGCAATCAACACGCTCCACCAACCACTGCACTCCCTATCTTTAAGCTAGGAGTTGATGTAGTCCAGTTAGTGTTGTAGCATCATCTAACGTTCACAAAAGAGAGCGAACCGGATGCCGAACAAATTAAAACATCTCAACGTCCTCAGAAGACTTTGCGTTCTGTCAGAGTCTTCACCTCGGAGCAGGACTATATCATCCTCATATTCCAAGTCAACGAGGTTATTCCCTGGTAACAAGTCAATCCCTGAGTCGGTGAAGTCAGTTAGGGTTAAGTCCATTAGTAGTACATCTACGATGAAATTAAAGAGAAATGAAGACAGTGGGCCTCTCTGACATACATCACTGGTTGTCATCACAGTTGTCAGATGAAAACTATCCGTAGACCCTCATCTGACTGACTGCATTGAATACGAGTAGAGTGAGTGCCTTGATCAGTGAAATGTGCTTCCTCGGCATTCCCTTTACAGCCAAACATCGACATAGTACCCCTCAGTCGATAGAATAGAATGCTGCTTTCAGGTGAAAAAATAGGACAAGTGTTAGACGCCAGTATGTATGCCTATGTTTCAGAATCTGTCGAAGGGTGAAGATATGATCAATACACTCTCTTCCTGGTGTAAAGCCTGCCGCCTGGTTCTCTCGTGTTTGTTTTTCCCTAGCACCGCTTAGTCTACGCATGATTATTGAGCCTGAAACTTTAGATACCGTGTTGGTCAAGCTAATCTCTCTGTGGTTATCACAGGAAGACTTGTCTCCCTTCTTGTATATTGGGTATGATCAGTGAAGTATACCAACCCGACGGAACTTTCACTGATTCCCAGACACTGCCTAATATCTTAGTTAACGCAGACAGTGAACTGTCTCCGCCTTCCTTGAATACGACTGGAGTGATTCTGTTGGGTCCCGCTGCTTTGCCTCGTTTCAGACTAGTGACAGCCTTAGTAACCTCAGTTGGGTATGGAGTATCTGTGTTTATGTCGCATTCAGGGAGGTGTTGGATGCTGGATAAGTCACACAAACGTACACAGCTGAGGAGACAGCAGCTTAGTCACAGTGACATACGACAGCGCATACACTACCGAAATTCACACACACTCATACAAACATACCCACACAATAACTTGATACTTGACCGTCGATGATGTTGGTTGAACCAAGCCATTTATGACAAGCTGTGACGATTGAGACAAAGAGGGACTGTTGGCATCCCGACCTGGTCACATGATCAGGTCCCAAGATTCGAGGATGACACTGCGTCACATCACTGATGCACTGATTCAGTTTGCTGTAGGGCAATTAAACTGCTCCTCAAAGTGTTCTTTCCAACCTTCTAGTCGTCTATCCTGAGAGCTAATTATGGCACCATTTTCCTGAGAGATTGTTTCACTTGTCATTTGCTTCCTGCTACCTGTTTCTCTGATTAGTCTAAATAATTTTCTGGTGTTATCTATCGCCAATTCCTTTTCCATCTCTTTCACTTTTGTCTCCTACAACTGTTCATGGTCGTTGCGAAGACTTCGTGTTAGTTTGCGTTTAAATAGTGATTGAAATGTCTACTGAATTTTTATGGTACGTTCAGATAATCCTCAACTATCAAATGATGCATTATTATTAAATGAATTTCCACCTGTTAGTGCAAGGAAACTTTAATAGTTCATTTTTGTTAGCAGACCTCTTAAGTAGGTTATTCACATAGACCCACGCCAAATTCTCTGAGTTGTTGCTTTCAGCTGTCGTTCCCATGTGGATTGCACACTTGTGTTCTTATGATTTACTAGGCTGTAAGTGCTTGTGTGGCTAACTGGCAAAGTTATTTTGTCACCAACCAAATAGAGAAGAATGATAAACACCCATAGGTACAAGAAATTTTATTGCGTAAAAGCACCTCAGTGTAGAAGTACTTTACTCCGGTGGAGACGGTTTATGCATGGTGGTCAGACAAATTTATCATAAAATGCAAACAAGTATCATTCTTGTAAACACATTGTTTCATACTGGCTAGTTTAAATGTAAGCATCAGCAACCTGCTAAACTATAGCTTTTTCTGTAGTTACAACTGTAATGTCTAGAAACACACTTTTTTTTTATCATAATCTTTTTCACACGATTTCTGTTTCTAAGGTTTGTTTTGAAAATAATAATAAAAATGATGATAGTAGTATTGTTTGTCAATCATGTAATATGTACTACTGAATAGGTTAATACAAATGCAAATGGCTTATTGGATTGGGAAGCTGCAAATAAAAAGTGCCAAAGCTTTCATCCTGGTGCTCATCTGGCCAGTGTATTGTCAAACGAACAACAAGGTAATGCTAACTGTGTATAACTTCAATTCTTTTTGCTTTTACCTATTGTTATGCATTTATCATGTGCTTTTAACTAATTTTGAGATGTCTACTGTAAATGTATGCACTTGCTATGGTAAATAATATGGAGTTTTGTTGTAGTTTTAAGCGAAATCGAATGTCTTCCGTCTGATCAACACATATTACATGAAGAAAATAAAAGACAAATTCAGCTGAATTTGTCTTGGTATTTTCAGTGATTTAAAGCAGAGCGAAAACCCTGTGACAGTGAAAGAACTTGATACGTTTCTTAAGTTTTTTGTCAAACTTGCTATAGCGACGAATACAAGAATCAGTTTTCTGAAGAGCTGTATTGATAAGAAAGAATATCAATAGGTGTCACATTCCCTCCATTTAGTATACAAAGCAAGAGAAGAGAGTAGAGAGAGATTCAAAAGGGAGATAATAAAAAGAAATGAGACAAAAAGAATAGTAATATGTTAAACAATAGAGTTTTATTGGATATGACAAATCACAAATACTGAAAGCATCTGCGCTAACCATTGGGTACGATTTTCAGCCAATCACCAATTGTCTAAAGCCTTCATTGGTTTTGACCATCCTGAGGACCCTAACCAGACAGTCAGGAAGTCTACACCTTCCTATGTGGTAGGTTGGCTGGCTGACTTAAACTAACTGTTGTGGATTTCATTGACTGGTGGAGCCATGTTTTGGTTTGACCACCACTGATTACTGTGACGCAAAAATTCTTACTACAAAGTCAAAGATGCAGCAGTTGATTAAGTAAGCTAAACAGCTAAAAATCACTTCTCACTTTTAGACCTGGACTTATCAACTGTATGCATAGATATAGTTTTAACTCAGGGAAATGCATTATTCAAACAATCTCAAATCTAGATTTAGCTATTAAGTCAAGTGTAAATTTGAAACACAATGTTTTTAATACCACATAATTTTTCATCTATGCATTCATAATTCACTTATTATGCTTTAATTTGGTCATTATTTTTACAAGACGGTTTAACTGTCCTTATGGGTGGTCGGTCAATATCTGCATGGATCGGCTTGCATTCTCATAGAAATGTTCATCAATGGATTGCTGGAAGTAATGTTCTGTTTACAAATTGGAAGCCTACAGAGCCAAATACTGATGGAACTGTAAGTCTCATCTTTATTTATTCAATGAGATTTAATTTATCCAATATTGTTGTATGCATACACACAATCCTCTTGATATAAGCCGAAATAATGAAATGTATGTATAAAAAGAGTTTTCGTTATATAAGAGTGAACTAGCCCTTTTTCTCAGCAATAAAAACATGAATAATGTTTGTTCTGTCTTTTCAATTCAAAAAATCAAAGCTTATCTATGTTTTGTGCTATGGAAAACTGGAACGTTGGGTGTTAAGAAAAATCTGTAGGCAAGTGAAGTAACGTAATGCGAGTACAATACAATCAGTATGTTGGAGCTTACACAATTAAATGAAAACACGAAAACAGTTACCAGGTCGAAATCAGATGGTTGATTTCGAGTATCCTCTTTCGTTTCCTATGCAGATATATTGGGTCTTAATATTGTTGTCATTTTATGATCTCAAACGATAGACATGCAAACACCTCCATCAATCTCTGGGTAATAATTAAATAGCATAATTCTCTTATACGTCAATAATAACAATACTCTGAATTGAATCTACTTTTTGTGTTGTATGCAATGCTGAAGAGATTATACATAAAAAGTGTTTTGCCAAACTTTAAAGGTTTTAAAAAATAATTCTGAGACACGAAACACTATGCTAATCAACTTTATCAACGGTGTTTTCCAAGCCCTCTTATGTGTGAAAGTCATAGGATATAGATACTGTGTTATTTCTTGTGGTTCCCGCCAGTGATCACATGGCAAAGCAGTAACAAAGCATAAAATTACGTCAGAAATTCAAATCAGAAACTTCTTCACTTATTAAAACCTGTTGCCGACATTTTGTTTCAATTGAGACTTTCCCTGTAAGAGTAGCACTTTCTGGTATCTTTTAGACTAGAACTAAGACGTTTATAACGTGACTTAAAGTGTATACGATCACAGTTGGCTAGCGGTTGAAAAGTCGTCCATAATTCAGAAGAATGGATCCCCCAACAATTTTATCTTTTGTTCTCTTGAGAAAACATATCATAATTTTGTTCCAAAATTTAGAAAATTTCGTTTTCTATCTATTTTCTTTATTCTCCTATATTTAGAGCTGTACTATAATGCATTCTGAAGCAGATAGTATTGGTAAATGGAGTGATGAACCGTGTCAAAAGAAGTTCGGTTATATTTGTGAAACCGCAGCAAGTTAGTTTATCATTCTATAGTCTGTGCTTGGCATGGTGATTGTGTCTACTGGTTAATGTAGTGTACTGGCAGATTGATAGATGAGCGCAGTTCTCTCTGATAATGTGATTTTTCTCTTTTTTTGTTTCCATTGTTTTTCAAAGTTGCAGAAGGGATAATGAATCCAGTAGGCATCCTATACGTTTGTTTTTCTACTCATTGAGTAACAATAATAGTCATGTGTTGTTAATCTAGTATTGTCTCTGTAGCTCATCTTAAACTGTGTAACCAATAAAATTAATTAAATCAACCAGTTAACTAACAATTGGTTTAACTGTGCACTTGACTATGCTTTTCAAGTTATATCATGAAGTGACATCAGTTAAAGAACCATTGATAACTGGAGAATACTAGATAGCTAATTCGTACTAGTTTGGGACTTTTCAACAGTATGCTCTGATGACGCCTTTGGGGATCAAACCCTGGATCCTTCAGGTTTCAAGACGAGCGTGTTTATCACTATTCTTTGTTTTCAATGTCAATCAATATAATCTCCACAGGCCGACACTTGAAGATTCTGGTTTTGTTAGTTCTCATGATTTTCTTTTTTATTGCAAATCCTCTTCCCCAGTTTCACTGCAGTTACTACCTACTATCAGTCAAAATTCTTAGTAAACTGCCATATGTAAACTCCTAGCTAAACTCATATACTAGCTCTCTCCTCCCCTCTCTATTTCTGAGATTTTCACGAACCTCCTAATTCTAAATAACCGAGTGAAGAACACACCTCAGTGTTCAATGTAATGAGCTAATTAAGTGTTTTTTTTTACTTCTTAACTCTTGATTGTCTAATGATATTGATGATGTGTGTGTATGTGTTTGTTTATAAATCTTATTGATGACTTAGTGTATTTGTTTCTCACAACTGTGAAGTATGTAGGATTTCTCTTGAACAATACACGAGTTTTCCTGTCTTTTCAATACTTGTTTAGCTTTCTATTTCCAACTATTGCTGTCATCATCACCATCTTTTAAGCTGGCCGTGACGGTAAGTTTTGGCTTGATATCCCCTTTATGTCACTTCCGTCCTACTAACTTTTTATCCAACTTTTTGAGTGCTTCGTAGCGAAATTCTTATTAGTAGTCTACATAGATGCTTACTATGTTCTGTTATTTCATAAAACTAGTGTCCTTGATTGATTTTGTGTTTACAATAATACAGTCATGATGTTATTTTGGTTGATGATGGCTAACAGTAAAGTCTAGGACTGGCATTTCGCGTTCTATTTTGAAACTTGTTCGCTAGATATATTTATATTTTAATGAGTTGTGGTGATCCACTGAGACACTAACCTAACACCCATCGTTTTAAATGTGGATCACGAGAGCCATCTCTTGTGCGACGAGTGTTAGCTGTTATTCGTTGAAATTTTCATCCTGTACTTCTTGTTAATTGATCACGTTGGAAGGAATTGTCCTGTTTTTGTTGACATGTCGGCTTCTAGTAATGTTGTTGTCTGATTTAAATGACTTTTGTTGCTTTTTCCTGTTTAGTAAATTATTCAGTGTTCCATCTGAAAGTTTTCGGGTTTGATTTGCTGGTTAGTGTATACTCTGCTTCAGTGCGTCAGTATAATGTTTTTAATTGCCTAATACTTTCGCTTTGATCAGCAGTCCTGTGTAAGGGGAAAAAACTGCAAAGCATTTCGCACTTTGTAAGCAAAAGTGGTAGCCACATATCTCGTTTTACATGAAGCAGGAAATAAGTCAGTGAAGGGAAATAAACAGATTCAAATAACTATTATTAGTGGTCGGGAAACTATACACAACAAACAAGAAATCAAAGTGATGTGTAATTTATTCTTTTACATGGAAAATTATGGTGTTGAGTCGGTAGATACATTGACGCCGCTCTCAGGCACTATCCACCCTTTTAATAAACACGGATACTTGGCTGATCATAGGTAGCCGATGATCATACACATATCAATGTTGGTAAGAATTTCCCTAAATCGTGTACATTTTTATTCCGTGATTTTGAGAAAGACTATATTTCATCAGTGTCTTAAAAAAACTGAACTGTTCATTCAGTTTACTTTAAGGTGATTAGTTAATTTTTATGTTCGAGGAGTAAATGTTTGAAATTCCTCAGTGTAACGTAAGTTTCGTTACAGTCTGCTTGTCTAAAAAATGAATAAATACTCTACTTCATTTAGACGCATCATGTGACAATTAGGGTTACTGAGATAGTGGCGTCTTGATAAGGAATCTGATGTTTCACTATTACAATCTGATTGACTGAAATCAGCTTTCATACAATCTGTCTCGGTTTCTATCTGTATTCCACCTACTTTCTCAAGTTTGACTATATAATATCATGAACCCTTAAAATATTCAGTATGCTCCGCCCCCCCCCCCCCCCCCATTACGTATATCTGTACATCCTTAGACGCTTGCGATGAACACATCCTATGGAAAGAAAATCATTGTAGGGAACACTAACTGCTTATGCTTTGAATAATTAGACGTATTCACCTACCTTCAATATCAGTGGTGCACAGTATACTGAAATTTTACTACCTCCATCTCTAGTTACAAATTACCTATCCTCCCTATCTATATGTTTTTTATAGTCTCCTTCCGAACAATCTGCACTGCAACCTTTTGTAAATGTATGTAGTTGTAAACTGTTGGTTAGATGTCAGTACTGGTGATTACTGATCGTGATCTTTTTTTATTGTAGCCGTTTGATTCAGCAGGTAAAAGTGTAATAGTTGGTGTTTATCTAAATCTCCATCTGATTCCCTCCTTTCCAATCTTCTGATCGTTTTTTTTTGAGATCAAATTGGTCGTTACATTTTATTTCATACATTTGGTTCCCTTAATAAATTTCGACAAAGAAGGGAAGACGAAATTTGCAGTATAAAATGATATAAAATGAGGAGAACCTGTGAAATCGAATGATATCATTTTATACTGCGAATTTCGTCCTCCTTTCTTTATCGACATTTTGTTTCCTTGAAAAATTCTGTTGTCAAGAGATGCATTTTAATTTGGTTATACTTAAGTCAGTAAGTCAGCTAACAGTGTTTATTTTGCAGTGTTTCCTTTCTAGTAATGTGTGTTTTCCTGCCTACCTCTCATATTTTGCTTTTTGCTGTGAAAAAGCTTGTCCTTTCTAGTTTAGTTATAACTTATCACACTATGAAATCCAGTGTTAATTTACGTGTGCACATACATCAATAATGGGAGAAGGAATAGAAAGCATACAATGAAATGATGGTACAGTGATAAAGTAAAATGCACCTGCCTTTCATAAACTACACAGTTTTGTCATAGATCAGTCGAAATGAACTTTCAATTTCTAAATACAACTGTTACTGTTTCATCTTTTTCACTAGCGTGACATCCTCCATAGTTGTTTGTATAGACTGTGTAGGAGTAGTGTTTAGTCACTCCTTACGATCTTCGGAATTGCGAGCATCACAAATATTTATTTAATAATTGTTCATCATCACTTCCATCCATTACAGTACCATTTCTACATTGGTTCTTTCGTTTTCTGTCTGTCTTAGTCCTACGCACTTCTGTATGGGGTTCTGCATTTATTTGTGTATGCGTGTGTTGACTCATACGTAAGACACAATTGTATAAGCTGGTATTATGAAAACAATAAAAGTCGCAACTAAATGCTATATATTGCTATTTATCGTCATGTCTAACAAGATTAGTCCTCTAAGTTATGGCTTACCATCAGAAATTTGAGTAAGAAATGACTTAACAAACTGAGTGACTGAATTGTTATTTGTTTCGAAGGAATAACTAGTTCAAAACGAAAGTAGGATGATCTAGTATGAAAATTTGTGAAATAAGTTAAAGAAATGTAGAAATATAACTCTATAATAAGTCAAGCACACTAAATCGCACTTCACTCCACTTCCTTGTATAATATGCTTAGAAATTTCTCCATATATAGTCAATTATTTCGAGATGAGGAAGTGACCTCTTCCAGTCGTAAAGATGTATCATCACATTTTTCTTTTGCTAACTACGAGTGTAAATATTCACGGGAAGCACTTTTATAATACGGTTCTCGTTTCAGCGAGTTTCAAAAATGCTATTCAACTGGTAGGGGCCATCGTTGATATTGTTCAACACATCAATTTATCATTTTCTTGTTATTCATAAGAAAGTAACCACAAAGTTTCTCTTAAAGGAGCTGATTACTAGTTTCAAATAATGTCTAGTACAGAACCAGTTACATGATAACTGAACCCTTTGCCGAGTTCTTTGCTCACCTATAATATCACGTTTACCCTTAAATTCTTGCCCGTGAGAATTCTGGAAGACTTGCAATTGTCTTGTAACAGATAGAGTACTTATTTCTCTGTCTTTATTTTAAGTAAACCAGATGAAGGCGTTAGACGCTAGACGTACTTCTTCCTGTTAAGAAAAATAAAACGTCGAAAAAACATCAAAAATACAACAGCATTTAGATTACATGCAGCTCTTCTATATACTAATAGTTCTTCAGATTTGAATATGAAAAGGCTTCGTTGAGTTTCTTATTTGTAGTTTGTACAAGATCGCTTACTTTTCACATACTGTTATTTTTAGTTTTAAACTGTTTGCATTTTACATTTCAGGCTTCTAGGGTTTCGACTGGTTTTAGTTCAAGTTTCGATACGAGCTGACATCATTTAGAGCATCTTTAGAAAACTAGGAGCATTGCACAGCTGTTTCTTCATAGTTTGAGACATTTATGCAGAACTCATCTACTTGAAGCAGATCTTTCATGTACCGGCATGTGAGCCACACTTATTGAGTGAGAACTGATTACACTGTTTAGTCGTTTTGGTTGAAATACATGGAGCTAGGCAGGATGCACTAATAACTCTCCCAATAACACAGAAAGATGATGTTTTCAGTTGAGTTGGTTTCCATCTTCCAACTTGGTGTCTGAACTGTAAACATACTTACTGGTGGTTACTCAATGATTCTTAGTTCGTCCCATTATGTAGTCATGCGTGTTAACATTTCTGCTATCGCACTCATTCAGTAAACGCAGGTTTAAAAAGTTGGCTTCTGAATATTGCGAATAAATTATAGGGTTGAGTCTTGTACTACTCCCACTTTTTCAATGTTAATAATTTATATTTTGTCGTTGAATCTGAGATATTGGTGTTTTTTTTCATCTGAGATCCCACCGATTTTCTCTTTTTTCTGTGTGTTTTGCCATTTTTCCTATTCTCAATTCATCTAGTTGATTTCATTCCGGAAAGACAATTACATTTACAGCAGTTAAATCCACACTTGATATTATTTTTTTCTCTGTTTCATAGTTCATACTGAACATAAAGAAAATGTTTCACAACTTTTGGGAATATTGGAACAAGGTGCGTGTGAATCGGGATTCTATTTCCACGACAATTCTTGTTATTCTTTGATATCTGCACCGGATTTGCTGCGTAGCTCAGTTGACTTCCGGGATGAAATAAGTGGTCGTTGTTTACTGTCTACTCATTTCACTGGTGCTCAATGTTTTTCACGACCTGAACTCGCTGGTACTATTTATTGCCCTGTGATTGCAACTCCACATGGAGAACTTGAGGCTTCATTTATGCGTATTTTAGCGCGAACATTCAGCTCTTCTGACAATGTTTGGATTGGCTTAAAACTAAACCGTACACATGCATCGGTAAGTGTGTGTAATATCTTATCGACCAGTCGTATTTTATAGCTTTTCAGTCCCATCTGTTTTAGACCATAATCTGAACCACCTACCCAAAACAGATTTTCAATGTATTGAGCCTGAGGGTTAACGATACTATCCATATGCCCTTGCTAAAATAGACGGAGTGAGGCCCAAATCAGGGACCCATCGAGTGAAAGTCGACTTCCCGAGCCAACCGACCATATCCCTAAATCAATCAACCCCTATCTTACTAAACCTCAAAGACAGGTTCTAATTATAGTTTCTAAGCACTTACCTGGAGATAATTTAACAGCGAATTTGGAATTAAGTAAAATTTTAAAAAAATTAGGAGGTCTCAGTAGTTCAATGACATCTTACCTGTAAGTGAAATATTTTTCCCTAGAAAACATCCCTACATTGAATAGTCTGTATCAGTCTGAAGATCTCAGGTTACCTTATGGCTTAATGATAGTTAATCTTGAAAAAAATTCTTACCAATAAAAAATTATTTGTTAAAATCCCTGTCGTTTGTTTCATCAATGCTAAAATCTCTCTTTATCAGTAGAATATTGTTGGGGGACTTTAAAAAGAGTATTTGTTTGCTGGATTTCATCTCATCAATGACCCAATGAGTTCATTTAGCACTTTTAAGTAAACAAGAAAATACTATTCATGTTCCACGATATTCAATTTTACCAATCAGAAATAATAAATCTTTGACTAGAATAGTTTTGTAACTTTTTCTGGGGATCCACCTGTTGGTTTAAATTCGGAGCAAACATTTTCTACAATTCAACTTCTTTTTGGCTTCATCTCCTCGTCTTTTGTGTCATATTTTCGGAGTCAATTTATCTTTTTGGTTTTTCTCCTCAACTCTGCATATTACAACTAGCCTCTGTTAAGCCTTAGATTCTTTTTTGACATTTTCTACTTGTGTCTTAACAACTCCCTTTCAAAGCAATTGTGATAATGAGGCGTCAAATGACAGGCCTATGTTAACTTTATGTATTGTAGGATGTACAAGCAAGAGTAATGCTGCTTTTACTAACCAAATACTGAGAGTATATATACATATATATATATATATATGCACTGTTCTATTTTTGCATTCACCCACCTTCAACATGCAGTGGATATTTCAGATGCCGTGTGCTACACTGTTTTTTCAAGCTTTCGAATGAATGAAGAAAAGGTTATGCAAATACTTCCATACATTACTGGCATTTGTAGCAGTTGAATATGAACGCAGTATTATTATTGGCTTCTGAAGGAATACTTATCGAGAAGGATCAGTTGACATATTATAAATTCATTTTATAAATCGAGAATACCTTTGAGGCGCAATTTATGATATCACCAAATACCTACAGATGTTAGGGTGGTTTCAGCGACTGAGAACGGTGTTTCTCTGTCTTAATGGCTAGCAGTGGTTGTAGAATTAAGAAAAGTTGAACAAACTGTCTAGGCTATAGTGTTAGTGTTACCTATGTCCTGGAGGTAGCATACCTGAAAGAGAAAATTTATTCCTATTTTATGATCTTCGAAACCGAGGAACAAATGCCGGAGGTTTGTCACACATTGTGTGTTTGGAGATGGAATCTGTGTACTTTCGTCCAGACACAGAAGCTTACCACCATGAGACTAGTTGGGTGTACGATTTTCAGATCCTACATTTTCTGAATACTTCTACCGTGAACAAGAAGGCACCACGGCTTATTCGGTGGTTGCCGGAGGAAAATATTCTGTTGCTGTTACATCTCTACACCTATTCACCTTTGTTCTCAGATCTCCTCCTCCATGGAATATACCACTTACCGTATCAGGGTAATTCTTTTTAGTTTAATCTCTACCCAGCTGACTGTTCTGTACTAACACTCGTTCTAGCCGACATAGCTTACTGGGTCACTGAGATATCCAAGACCTTCCACCGTGTTATCGTAATAGCGATCAGTCAGAAATGATTAATTATCCCACCTCCATATTTTCATACAGCACTGTAGTACACACATTTCAACGTCAGATGTTTTCATATCACTCGATAAAATAGAAATATTATCATCAGATTTAATTATTACAATTTACTTTATTCGCGAAATTTCTTGTTTGGAAAAGCTTTCCCTATTATCGGTCAACCTTTTCTCTGTGTGTGTGTTTTGTAAACAATTGTATTTTTTATAGAAAAACACATAACATTTTGAAAATCTTACAAATATTCGTCATTTCAGAGGATTTGTTTCGAGATGTATGCACCTGTCCCCATTATTCATCAATTTTCAAGCTGTTTAGATTGTATGCGAAAAATGGTTTTCCTTTTATTTTAACTTACCTATTGAATGCGAATGCCCTCGTACTTGATGGACACTAATGAAGTACGATCTACTGAACAGGTCTGTGAAAATTCCTAACTTCCTTCCCTCCTGCATAGTGATAGATATTATTACCAGATTCGTATTATAGTCTTGGTAAATAGAAGAAAAGCTTGGGATTTGTCGCCAATAAGTTATAGGTTTTTGCAGTCCCGTTGACTTAATTGATGTGGACCACTGTTTAGATTTTGATTATTTTGTCTTTTGCTTTCTGTTTCAGAGTCACCTTTTATCAGAAGATGGTTCTTTACATGATACTTCAAGTTTAATGGATTTTGCTGGACTATTCCAATATCAAGGCAGGCAAAATCAACAGTTTCTCTATGATTGTTTCACTATGCCGACTCATGGAGGGAATTTAATTCGAATGAAAAATTGTTCATCTCATTTACCTGCAATTTGTACATATACTCTGAGTGAGTGAAAAAGAGGCTTTAATGAATTCGTGTTACAGGATTTTGCATATATATATATATATATATCAATTAAAGTTCTACTTAAGGTATGCATGCATCCCAAACTATATGATTCATCATAGAACATATCACCTATTGCCTCTTACAATTGGTTCTGCTGATCCGGACAGTGGAAATCAATTTAAAATGACCTATACTTGCCTGTATGAGTCACACCTATTTCGTCGATTGGTTTCTTTGTTTAACCCGAAGCTTCATATTTAGTGTTGTTGCATTGCTCACATCTATGGTTGCACAAAACGCGAAGAACCCGGTTATTAATCGAATCAATGTATATATTGCTATTATGGTAGTTGTATAAAGCATTGTCCGTGATATGCAGATTTAAAGAGGATGAATTACTTTTTAGTCAACCTTAATCAATGTCACCATTAATATTTACCCAAGCAAAATGATGTAGGCTTCAGAGCGGCCCTTTTTTCCATCTTGACATTGGATGGAATTCAGTTTTCTTTTCTAACGAAATTCATAAGCAAATCTGTGAATTGCTTCTCACGTACTTTGATGTCAACCACCTTTGTTAGGTTGATTTTATTACCTGGAAAGTCTCACGACACATGTATGTCAACTTATGATTGACTCTATTCTCTAGATATTCCACATACATAATATTCACCTGTGGTATTTGATATGTTGAGATGTGGAAAATTATACGCCATCATTGGACCAATGCTACAGATTAGTGATCGGTGGAGCATTAAATTTGTCGACTTCGAATGCATAATTGATCTAAAACCAAAGTGAATGATAACACTTCTTCCTGGATGTTGTAATAACTTTTCCATCGAACTTCTAGATTATCATCTTATATCAAACAAGTTTTGCCTCATGAATTATATGTTTTGTGCAAGTCCGTCTGACTTCGGATAACATCAGACTTAGGGTTGTCATTGCTCACGTTAATTCCAATTGCTGTAATATGAATACGATTTTCGGCTGTCGACCATAGGACGTTTGTACTGCTCAGCAGTTCACTCCATCCTCCTTTATGGCTGAGAGTGAGACATGGCCACTGAAAGTGGAAGACATGAAAAGACTAGCTATCTGTCTTTGATCATAGGTATCTGCGTTCTATTTCCCGTGTTAAGTGGTATAAGAGGGTGACTTGAGGTTAAGCCTCAAGTGCTAACTAAGGAGAGGAAATCAATCAATCAGGTTGTGAATCAGCTGCATCATTTGAGATGATTAGGACATGTGTTAGACATCCCTAGAAATCATCTATCGCCTTCCTTGAACGATGGGCAATGTTAGCTGAGACAGGGTGGTCAGGTTGAAAAGAAGATAGTGGTGGCCAAACCGAAACATGGCTTCATCAGTCAATGGAATCCACAACAATTAGTTGAAGTCAGTCAGCCACGTAGGAAGGTGTAGACTTCCTGACTGTCTGGTTAGGGTCCTCAGGATGGTCAAAACCAATGAAGAATTTAGACAATTGGTGATTGGCTGAAAATCGTTCTCAATGGCTAGTGCAGATGCTTTTAGTATATGTGATTTGTCAGTATCCAATAAACTTCTATTGGTTTTCCATATTACCATTCTTTTTCTTTCACTCACACTTCTGTTTACTATCTCTCTCTTTCTTTTGAATCCCTTTACTCTCTTTTGCTTTGTGTGGCACACTACATGGAGTGTGGCAACTCGAACTGCTGCACATTTATGGAAAGTTCTATATTGAAACCAGTCAGTCAGTAGTATGAGTAACCCATCAATTTCCTTTGGCAAGGTTTCCACCCTAACGTTAATCACACTAGCACACATACTAAAACAGGTCCTCAAGTACACACATATGCATGTTTTTATGCGAAGAATATGCAAAAGGTTGATGTCGTGTCAGCCTTTTTGCACTAAGACTGTTGTATACTGAACTTTTTATTATTAGTGTGGTTTTCGTCGGCATGCTTAAAGTTTTCACCGTTTTTTATTGTCGCCCCAATTTCACTTGCTTTTATTCTACTCTGTTCTAACGTTTTACGGTGACCTGTAGAGTATGGTAACCGTAATCCGACAGACCTTTTTTGATTGTTTTAATGATAATAATGACAATTCTACAGTTAATATTTTATTGTTAAAGAATTAATGGAAGAAGGTAGCAACAGTAATTTGACCTGGTGATATGATTATTACTGAGGTTTTATTTGTTATTAATATTTTTCAAGATTTGGTTTGTAAGGATTAGATTATTATGATTGTAATGGACTGTGTACCGTTGTTGACTACTTCAATAATTGTTGGTAGTTCTTGTTGGAACTCGTTGGTTCTTAACAAATTTCTAATCTTAGAGGTTATAATATAACAAGTCATACCCTTATTTTAGTAGAGCCGTCCTGTTTTAGTATTTGTCTGTTTTTCTTCAAGATTTCAATTTTGTTGTTATACTATTAGCCTTACTTCTTTGCTTACACTCTTTCAACACACCACCGTTATGGAGGGTAATATTTTTTTTCTAATTTTCCCAAAATGACGATGTGTTCTGTTGTGACAACTCTAGTTGTATAGGTGCTGCTGTAGAGTTAGCACTGCAATCAAATTTGTCATTAGAATCTGTATCGCTTAACCAAGTCAATTCGCATTTGCAAAGTTCGTTGACTGTGTGTGTGTGTGTGTGTGTGTGTGTGTGTGTGTGTGTGTGTGTGTGTGTGTGTGTGTGTGTGTGTGTGTGTGTGTGTGTGTGTGTGTGTGTGTGTGTGTGTGTGTGTGTGTGTGTGTTAGTAATAGAGATGTTACCTCGAAGAACATTTAAAGGTTTTCAATTAAACCAATGAACTCAGAAGACAATAATTCTTCATTTCATTTACACTATGCCTAACAGAGCTAAATAGAATAGGGGGAACGAAAACCTCCACAGAAGAATGAAATTTATACTATGTCCAAATTTGTGAACAGCATTCTATCCGCGGTTCAAGATCTTTCTGTTGGTTTTTTTCATCTTTCTTTTGTTTCGGTATTTCACCGCTTGATTATGGTCTCTGTTTAGTGGCGATCGCTTCATATTTATGTTGATGTACTTCCATTGTCTTCAGGCAGATTTTGTGGTTCAACGGCTTCGGAAAATGAAACACCTAAAAAATACATCATTCCTAAGCCTCATTTGTTTTCACTCTATAAACAAAATACTGTATCGTATATCAGTGTTCGTACAAACAAAAATCGAATGAATAAGACGATTGATAGTTCTTAGTAATTTTCGTCATAAATCAACATGGAATGGTTCGTGTTTACGGATTATGGGAGTGGGAAAAGAAAAAGACTTTTGAACATTGATTAGCTTTTTGCATTTTAGTCTAAAACATGTAAGGAATTGATTTCTGTGCACTCATCTCATATAGAAAATGGATCCATCATTCGATAGGTGAGCAATCATCACTGTCTAGTTTAAAAAATGTTACCCTTGTTTTATTCTTCAATAATATGCACTCATTTTATACTAATCTTTAAAATACTCTCAACCATTTTATCATTCTTCTTGTGAATCTTTTATTTTAAAGAATCTTTTTTAGCTTATAGTAAAATCGTTTATTGTATACAGTATATCCGTGCACTTTCTAGTTTGTCATCAAAGTCTTCCACTGAGTTTAGAGAATACAATAACACAAGATATCCCCAACTCAGCTATAAGCCTTCTTCATAATTTCAGCGTCTGTCTGTTTACTTTTAATGCTTATTCATATAATCTTTGTACTTCATACAAAATATTTTGTGTGTCAGCGGTTCACTGATAGAATGCTCACCAACCCCTCGCGGTTGGGTCTAAGTTTGATTCCTGGCCGACGCACTTCAAAATCTCGACTCGTTTACTAGCGGTTAGTAAACCCGGAAGAGTGACAAGGTTGGGTTAGCGACCTCATCACTGAATCTTCGAAACTTGAGGCCTAATGTTCCACTTGGAGTGTAAGTAAAAATTTGAGGCGTTAACAGATGAATTCGTACGGCTGTAAACTTATATTACTGATCCATAGTTCATTTAGTATAAAAATTCGATTATTTTGATTATTTAGTTCACTGTTTTGTAATTTCTGCATTTTATCACTTTTGTTATTAATATCGCCTGATATGTTTGGTAGACAAAACCGATGTTAACGCGTAACGCACATAAATCGTCGACTCTTGAAATCATTGACCCACTCTAAGCTTATATTTGTGCTTTTTCCTCCTGTCTTAAATCCTCTCTAGAAAGTAAAATCTCACCTGTAAATGTTAAACACACGGTTGACCTTCCACCGTGTCCAACGGGTTGGATATCATTCAAAGATAATTGCTACTGGTTGCCATCTCCATTGATAAGATTGGGGTGGTCGGAGGCAGAACGTACATGTCAATTACAAGGCAGTTTACTTCGGAGGGAATCACCGATTCCTGCGCATTTGGCTTCTATCCATTCATCTGAAGAGGCACAATTTCTCAATAGCCTATCATTGTCAGCATCATTTTGGACTGGTTTAAAACTATACAGTATGTCCGTGTTCTTAATATGTTTACACTTGTTTGCTTGTTTTCTTTTCGATATAAGATTGATTCATTAGGGGGTCTAAGAGGTACCTACCTAATCACTTAATGGGTAAACTGAAGTCTTTTAATTTGATTTTTCATACGGTAACCGAGTTCTTTTAGCGCAGCATGAAATTAGTAATTACCGGATTTCAGAACCAAATGTTCTAGGCTGTGTTTTATAAGAGGAAGCCCTTTCAACTTTGTAGAATTTCATCAGAAAGATGCATTTATCAATATTTGTGGAAGGAGCCTACATTTAATAGGAGATTCGAATTTGCGACATGGATTTTACTGTAGAAACATTTAGTGCCATTTAGGCGTTGTATAAATCATATTTGGTAGGAGACTTGCATGCAGTCGACTTCAGTGCCATGAAATCAACACATTTTCTGTGTATTTATTTGTTTTCTTCCCCAGTGAGTTCTGACAATCCACTTTTATCAACAGTGAGTTTAGCATGGAGCGATAAGTCACCATTTGATTATTCTGTATTTCTATCTCCTGCTTCAACAATACAACAAAACGAATCTACTCTGCCGAATTTACTCAGTCATCTAGAGAATCTTGAAAACTGCATTGCAGTCAGTGGTGAACATAACTATTGGGATATTGAGAATTGTATTGAAGATAAAAGTTTTATATGTCAATTGCCTAAAACTGCTCTTCTGCCTTCTACTGTCAAGATGCCGACAGGTTAGTACATTGCGTATAACTTGTATGCATTCGCGTTTATCAACCATATATATATATATAATCTGCACATTGAAGGACCTTTCTTTACTTGCGTCGGTGGCACAGTGGTTAGGACTCTCGCCGACCATGCACATGGTCCGAGGTTCGATCCCCTGCCGACGCACACCCGATATCAATGGTCGGCCTGCAAAATTTGGGCTACCGATATCCATGCTGAAAATTCCACACTTGTACTGAAAATACGGTGTGGCATCAAGCTGTAACCAAAATAAATAAAAATAAATAAAAACTTTTGTTCCTCCCTGTCTTCACCTCCTACTTCTTAATCCGTCTCTTTGAGACGAGGACCCTACTAGCCCTCATCGTTGTTTCAGTTTAGTTACTGACAAATACAAAACGTTACTACAATGTCTTACAAACTGCATCTGTTCACACTTACCGCATTTATTGTCACCATACAGTCAGATGCTAGCGAATTGTAATCAGAAGAAATAGTGAAATTTGTAAACAGTAGCGTTGAGATGCAAAGAAAACTAAAAGAAAGAAACAAAGGACAGAGTAAGGCGAATAAATTAATGCCTTGTAGATCTAAAAGACAGAAATTTAGTGATTGTGTTTCCTAGTCTCTTCAGCAGATGAGTTTCAACCACAACTTGAAAATTTATTTGATCATCTTATAGACTATTTACATCGATTAGGGTATCTGTCTTTTGTGATTGTCGACATTTAATCCCTCAAATGTCACCATCCTTTATATAGTAATAATGGGTATATCATCTTGAGGTATGTACTCATCGGTTGCCATATATTCATATTTCTCTCTGTGTGTATTTGTGCTAAGGCAGATATTTCGGTTAACTGTTTAGTGTAGTTATTTAGCCAAGTGATGTGGTGGTGCTAATTGTTTTGACTTAACACTTTAGAAGGAGTTGATCAGCAGATAGTCCTGAACTTTCATCTTGTGTTTATCTGCACTCATCACTCGGGTGTAACTGTAGCCTCAGAAGTACACTATGATTCGAAAACTTATCACCGAGCCTTACAAGGCATGACTAACTATTTGTTCGATTACATTTTGCCGACGAGTTGGCTGCCTCGTCACCTTTCTAAGTAGGGCAGAACGAATTCGTAGTTCTATGACTGTCCCCCTTCTAACAGAGTCACTCATTATTTTAAGCACTCAGCTTTCTGTCAACCTAAATAACTGAATAATAACAGCTGTCATACACAATAAGCATGGCTCCTGACCTGGTTCATGAGGAACTGATTTCCGGTAACTAATTTCGAACTAAACCAACTAACCACTGACATATCTCTTAAGTATTATTTATATGATGTTTTCATGGAATAGGATTTATACCGCTTGTGTTTGTGTTTGTCACTCGTACATTCAAATAAAGTACTTTGTTGTGTGATACACTTAAAATACAACAAGTAATCGATTATTTCCCCGGTTTCAAGAGTTAATCATAGTTAGATCGCCTAAACTTCTAATCACAAACGTCTAATATTTAATTAAGACGTCTACCTTTTACTAAGTGGTTAGTTAACGTATAAGTTATATTAATAATTATTATCTGAAAACTGCTCTAAGACCACAGAGAGCCGCTTTCCTTTATAAGCCTCATTCAACGTCTATATGACTATGCCGCATGCGAAGTGATTCACGAAAGAGAGCTCAGCAAAACCTTTGAAGCGAAAACGGAGTAAGACAAACCTGCCTTATATCACCGATGATGTTCCTGACTGTGGTGTACTGGATGATGCGGTACACCTTGCATGCCGAGCAAAAAGGCAGGAATACGTTTGACTGGCAAGAATACTATAGTAGATTTGGGCTTCGCAGACGACTTATGTCGAATGTTACACAAACTTAAAGATCTACAGGTAAAACCAACAAATTTGCAAAAGAAACAGAGAAAGCAGGACTTCAAATGAACTCAGAAAAGAGAAGAACGGCGATGATACAAAATCAACGGGAGAAATTCGTAAGAAGTCACCTCTTTCACTCACCTAGGCAGCGTTTCAACTACAAGTGGCGCATATGAGGATATTAAAGGCAGGACAGACCTTCATCAATCTGTGGGAACCTACTGCACTGTGTATAAAGTGCAGGATCGCAATATCCGACATTAATGTCAATTCAGTGCTTTTATGTGGTTCAGAGACTTGGCGCGTCATGTGAGACACTTTCAATAGGCTATTGCAAAACTTTCATCAACAACTACCTTCGCTCCATACTTAAGATCAGTTCGCAGGTTGGAGAAGATAAACAACAAGGAACTGACCAAGAACCTATCGCCCAACAATATGCAGAAAGAAATGAAAATGAGTGGGGCATACCATGAGTAGACCTTTGAAGTAACATCACAAAAGTCTTTTCAGGTATTCTATTCGTCTTGTCTATTTCTCATCCAGATGTACTGATAACTAGTCGACTCTGCATAAGACCATCCTTGGCTATTAAGGTCCTACGTAATCTTAATTTCATTGACAAGAATGACAACTGTCTTGTGGAAAATTACTTTTTTCGTTTGATTAGTTAAAAAGAAACCAACTATTGTCTCTTGACAGGTTGAACAAAAGTGTACATAGGGTGTTTGTAGAGGTCTGAGTTAGAAATTGTCATAACTTCCTTAAATCTTGAAAACCCACTATTTTCCAGATGTGTTTATCTTAGACAGAAATAAAACATATGCCATCATCAGATGGTGTACATAGGTGGGAAAGAGGAGAAGCAGGTTAGGCAACTTTTTCACAAATATACCTAATTGTTTTTTCCCCACAGATTTCTTCACTCAACGTTCACTCAAGCTACTGAATTTTACTCTCTGCCTACTGCAGTCACATAATGCGGTTAGTAGTCACTGTCATGAAGGGGGCTGTAGAGGTCACTAAATTGTTGTGTACTCTTCACATTACATTCCTATCAGTATCATCACGTTTACCTGTTGTGTAAATTACGTATTGCTGAACGTTTAACACTAATACGAAACTACAGTATAACAGGTACAACTTGATCAAGTGTACATGTTTGCTGTTCGTATCATACGTGTGTGTATGTGTTTGATAAAGCAAGAATTCAGTTTTCTTTTCTGTCTCTCGTCTACAACAATTCTCATCTCTCTAGTGTTATAATTTGTGCTTACAATCTAATTTTATTATAACATCATCTGTTCTTTTCTTTGTAACCGTATTGGAGTACAATACAATCTAATTGTTTGTATTCATTGAGACAGAAAAACAGTAAGAGGACTAACTAAACCAATATACTATTTATGTATACTCTGCATAGATATACCATGTTTCTTGCTGTGATATATGAGCACTTTTTGTATGTCGAACACTGGGCTTCAACAAAACATCTCCACATTGTTATACTTTCTGCTGTCTCCTTCAGCTGGACCCATAATCGCCCATAATCTCTAATCTCCTCCTCACACGATCTCCTCCATGTCAACCTCGCACTGACAACCCACTCTTCGCTCCCAATTCGGGTTTCACTCGAGCAGTGGCCTGGCACACGATGTCCTTCGACGGTCTCCTCAATGGATGATCAATCCATCCCTACTTACCCCTACATATTTGTTAAACGATAAGTTCCTGAATAGTTCGTTCTCATAGTTTATTGTTGATGATTCTTTCTGGCTAGCAATTTGATCCTCAACATGTAGCGAGCGAAGGCAGCTGTTGATAAAAGTCTCCTGTAGCCTGTTGGAAATGCTTTTCGTGACTCGCGCGCCGAGTTTCTCACTCATATAGAAGGACTGACTGACTGACTGACTTGACATTTGTGCTGAAAATCGGAATCGTGTGCTTTATACTGAGGCGGAGTGCAGAAGATTTCCGAACCGATTTCAGATTGATGGATGTGTATCTTGCCTTTCGGATTCTGACTGGCTGGCTTTCACATCTTCATTTGTTCCCCTGGCTGTGGTTGAAACAATTCTTCCTAGATAAGTGAAGGAAGGAAGCGACATCTTTCAAATTTCTCCCGTTCATAGTGATTGGTATTGTTTGTTGTTGCTGTTGTTGGTTGGCTATCTTCATCACATCCGTCTTCTCTCTGTTCACCAACAGTCGTGTCTTCACTGCCTGCCTCTGCTGTCAAATTGTTGGTTTTTGCCTACAAGTCTTCGAGTTTGTGTAACATTAAACATAAATCATCCACGCGTGAAATCCAGATCCTCTACAGTCTTCTTATTGGTGGTCCAGCGTATTCCTGTCTCCTCGCTCCCACTCACAGTCTAAGGTGTAATCCAATCCACCACAATTAAGAATATCATCGTGGATCATAATAGGCAGGCAGCCAGCTTGTTTTACTCCTGTATTTACTTCAAATGCTTCTGTGAATTTTCCTTTGTGGATCACTTGATAAATGGCATTGTCATGTAGCTGCTAGATGAGGTTGGTAAAGATTTGAGATATTATCCTCCGTAGTGTTGACGTGGTTTCCAAATAACTTCTCGGTCAACGCTATCTGGTGAAGGCCTTTCTGAAGTCGATTTTGTGTTAATTTATCCTTTTATTTCCCTTCAATTATATTATATAATAACAGTTAAAGACCAATATTTGTTATCTATTCTCTCTCTCTTATCTTTGTGTTCATTCAGGAGACAAAGTGTCAGTCACTACTACCAGTCCTTCTACAACTGCTGGTTCCGTAACATGCTCGAATAAGTTATTCCCAATAGCCAGCAAGATTGGACCATATTGTTATACTTTGGTGCACGGTCAGGCTTTGGATTGGAGTAGTGCTGAACTGTCCTGTCGTAATATGGATCCTAATGCACATTTAATTTCGATTCACTCAGATTTTCAGTTAGATGAAGTGGTAAGTAGAGCTAACAGAAAATTATAAAATTTTTATTGTTTATATCCTTCCCTCGTATTTCATAGATTACTCACCTGACCAGTTGTTGTGTCTTGCAACAGGAATACTGTGGTCTGCACATATTGACTATTTTAGACACACTGAGATTAAAAATGTAAGATTTCAACTGTTGATTTTTAGGGACTTCGTTGATTTCAAGTTAGATTTGATCACTAAGAGAAATCAGCTAGAGAATCAGCGAAAATCCATTGGAGTACTGAGCAAGCTGCCCAGTATTTCTCTAACCGATTTCATCGCATGATGAAATCCGACTTGAAATATATGATTGGTATGCATTTTGGTGTTGTTGAACTGCGTATGCATGCTGGAAGTGTTGGTCAAGCCAACGATGCAACAGCTTATCTGGTCCATTAATATGATCTTGTCATTCAAAGCTCCTTTTTGTTGCTTAACATCACGTAATTGAGCGGTCACCTTGAAATCAGTGTTTTCTTTCTCTATTTAACTATTTCTCTGTATATGCTGTGGACACATAATCTATTCTATCTTAAGCCGCGTAGACCCAGATGTGATATGCTTACGTCTGTGGAGGCAGATGGGTGTAGTCGGAGTTGCGCATCAATTCTTGCAATTATAACGTAGTCCGTGTCTTGACTGAATTGCATAAATTCTTACAACCAGACCTGATAAGCTGCAAATATTTCACTTGACTGTTTTTTCATAATATTTGTTTGTCTACATATTATTATTATTATTATTATTATTGCTCTTCTTCATCTTAAAGACTAAAATTCTGCGACAGAATTCACCACAAACACAACGTGGTACTTGGATTGGTTTACATGAATCCAACTTCGCCTACAGATGGTCAGATCAGAGTGATGTCGATTACATTCCAATCTCAGCTGATATCAGTAAAGAAAAGAGACACTATCTACAGGATTGTTTCGCACTTTTCCCAGGTTTGTGAAATTATTGTTGAATTGATTTTGAGTTGACAGTTTAGTTCACTGGTTTTACGAGATGCTGCTGTGTTCTTTGTAGATTAACGGTTGAGGGTAGAAATTTGACGACTTCGGAAAGATATGATACCGTATACTTGGACGTTGTGGTGCATGTGTTTAGTGTGTTTGCACAAAAAAGTCCATTATTGTTATTATTCTTCAGTATAATCGTAGTACAAGGTGTGTTTCACAACAAAACACGTTATAACATTGTGAGTTTGGTTAAAGAAGAATAATTAGGAGGAACGGATAAGCATGCCAATTAAAGACACTCAAAAAGGCTTTGTCACATTGGATTATAGCAGCGCGATCTTGACAGCGGTTTAAATATCGAGTCAAGCATCTGATAATACTGTGAGTGTACTGAGTTGTATTGTCTTGTGGATGCACCAACGGATGCTTACTCAACACACGACTTACTTTCATCTTATGAGGCGACGTTATGAAGTAACCTGATCTCTGCTTCTTCCAACAGATCAATTTAAAAAGCTTTTGTTAAAGAGTATAGTGGGTTCCTGTCGTCTCAATGACCGTCAGCGAGGTAGATGTTAGTTCGCAGGTATTTGACTGGTTTCAAATTAGCTAGGGAATGCAGATATATCCAGTTGATGAGTCCCGAATACGACGAAATGCGCATCTTATATTCCACTGCTAGTCACCATCCACCAATTATATTAATTTGTTTACTTGATAAATTATGATTTACTGAATGACTCTATAATGAGCATTGAATGTTATTTGAAATATATCATCCATTGTGTTTCACTGAACACTGTCAATCATCACAAGCTGTCAACTTGTAACCATCAATCTACTTCATTTGCCAAATTTCTTACTTTTTATATTTTTATTACTTTACTTCACGCTAGATAGTAACTCTTCTATGAATTGGAAAGCTGTCTCCTGTAACACGCCATCCTTAGGCTATTTGTGCCGTTTAAGTACGCATCCATCCACTCCGAGTCAAACAACTACTCATTTACAACCATCACCTATAAAATGTCCATCTGGTTTTCGATTTTATCGTGATCGATGCTTTCAAGTAAGTTGAACACCAAGTATACCCTTAGATTTATCATGCATGTATACAAAAATAAAGGGTTATGTGGATACCTTTTTTCGTACTCACCCATCTCAGGCATGTACACACACCCACTTGCCATCATCTGTCTTACCACTTTTTGAGAATTTTTATTGCTTGTTTGTCTGGTTGTTTAATTAGTCGTTTTTTCTTCGGTGATTATGGAGAACGCCTTGATATGTGTTGTCAAACCTGGCCTGTTCATACTACTGAATGAAAATTTTTTTGATTTCTCTATCTCTCTCCTATGCCTGTTCGCACACTCATACGCACACTTCTAGTCATATGTGTTGAGTAGTTCTTATCGATAGATTATAGCACACAAGTGTCTGTGTGTGTGTGTGTAATCATAACGCGTACATTGTGTGCACTAATAAACTTGTTCATATTTATGTGTAATACCAATGCCTTCTTGTTCAATATCGTATTGATTTATTGATTCATTCTGTGAACCATGTATTTTATTTGAAAGTGTGTGTGTGTGTCTAATTAGATGTGGGAATTTTTTGAGCTGTTTATTATTTTTATTACTTTTGAAAAAATAATAATTACTGTGTAATTAACTAATTGATTGACTGTCAAATCTATAAATTATTTTCGTTTGTGACATTTTGTTAAATTTGTCGGTTGTAAGTGGTGCTTTGTTAGTGTTTACATTGCTAAAAACAACATGAATAAGAATAATAAACGACAGTTTATTGAAATGAATTATCTACTGAGAGGTGTACCCTTGCACTTAAACCCTTAGCTTAATTCTCATGCTTATTTTAAGTTGATCACTTGTGTTAGTGTGTAAAACTTTATGAAATTACCTCTTTTTGAAAATTAAAATGTGCAGATTGGCTAAAAAAGAGAATATCATCTTGTCAATTGCTTTGCACTATGCGAAGTGATATCAATACTGTGATGACGATATAATATATGATGAAATGAAAATCAGGCTTCGAACTGGCGGCCAGACAAAGGTTATCTAAGACTGTTTCACAGCCAATTAGTTTTTTTAAAATTTTAGTTTTCTAACCTGCGACTTCTCGAAGCTTAATTGTAATTTTTTTTAATTCTCCCACCCTTCACTCGTAATACAGTAATTGAAGTTAGTTTCTAAGCTGTCTGTTGAACTAACCACTCTATTTTCGTTGGTGTCTTTTTCCACTTGATTGTTTCTGTCTATACAGTTGGTAAGCGATCGATTTACGTGGAGCGAGGCTAACGACCATTGTCAGCATATCTTAAAATCAAATCGTGATTTTTCTGGATCACTGGCTCGCATTGACAATGATTTCGACCAAGGTAAGCAGAAGTGTTTGATTTCTACGACACATTCTACTTATTATGTAGTAAATTCATTTCGTAGAGTAATATACTCAATTAATTTTTTATGGGGCAAATCGCAGAAACAAATTTTTCATGTATTAGGGTGAGTCATGCTTCTGGTGTAAGGTTTGATGATACCATCCAGTTTCGCAGACGGAAGTATGTGGAATGGGACTCGAACCTGAGACACATTGACTATAAGTCCATTGATTACTACGAGTGAAATAAGTTTGTAAATCTGCTTCATCTGAGATGTTTCAAGACATTGCTACATTGTCATTATTCCCTTGGGTTTCTAGTGGAATATAGGACTTCAGCAGGACATCTTCATTTCTCTCTGTTTTCCGGAATTCTTTTCAACTGGCTCCATGATTGCTCATAAGCTTTAATTGCCTCACATGATCTCCTGCTGATATTTCTTTCTGGACATCTGCTCCTCACCATGGAGTAAAGACAGATGTTATTGAAAGTCTGCAGTAGCCTGTTGGAAATGTCTTTCGTGATGTGTGTTTGCGAACCTTATAGAAGCACTGACTTGACATCAGTGTTAAAAATCCACACTGATTTCAGATTAATGAAGATCAGTCTTGCCTTTACGATCCTGCCTTTGCCATCCTCATCCGTTGAAATGATGATATGTGAGAGAAGTGACTTCATTCAAATTTCTCCCATCTAATTTGTGTTTACATAACATTGCGGTCATGTTTTGTCCTTTGTCTTTTTATCTCCTTTCTATTCCTCAGAATTTCTAGCCAGTCTATTAGACAATCTTGATCCAGACGCATCTGCAGTATGGATTGGTTTGTATAGAAACTTGTCACACGACGCGCATAGTTACAGTTGGTCAGATGGTGTCAAACCACGGTTTATAAAGCCTATACTGCGCGATCATCAGTTTCCTGTTTACAGTCATGCTACCAGAATGGAATTAACTAAATCAATCAACATCAAGTCAATGAAGGTATGTTTTAGGTTTGGATTGATCTCAAGTTAAACGATGAATTGACATCACTGGTTAGGGAATCACTGAAAACCACCAAATCATGAATAGCTGTCTCCTTCTAGTTTGGGAGTCACCAGTAACTTACTGCGGAAAGGAGTTTTTGTGGGACTTCGAGTCCACCAAGTTGGGTGTGAGGATAGATACCCACTGATGATATAGACTGGCATTGACGCCATATGCATTGTGAGTCGGTAAAAGTTAAAACTCATGGGTTATTCGATTCCGTCCCAGTGGCTGATTGGAAAATGGTCTTGCCCCATATATATACATTTATATATATATATACTACTGATGAATTTTACCAGTAACGCAGACCACAATAGTTGTTATTGTTGAATTGTTAGTCACCGGGAGATGGCTGGTTTTCTTTCCAAGGATTTAAACGAGAGTAATAATATGATGGCGTTTAACTGATTTGTGGGGTCATCTAACTTGTCTCGAATGCGCCTCCAGACATTGCAGTAAACTCAGCTGATCACTGGAAATTATCCCTCACACACAGACAAGTATAAAAGTCAGACGACAACTACAGCAACAGCCGCGACAACGTTTATTAGACAAAATACGTCTTACACCTCAGGAACTTAGACTATAAGTAAATAAACAAATCTGACTGGCTGTATGATATCTCAATCCCTCAGAAAATTAAACCGTAGATAAATGAATTGAAACTGTCCAATAAGGCTAACATATAAAAACATGAATAAATCATGACTTCGTGGCAAACAAAAAAGTTTGTCCGTCCTAACAGAGAACCTCTGAAACGAAGGGGTTTATCTCTAACATCCTTGAACATCAAGAATATATGTATATAATGTATTCCTTAAGTTGAAGGGGTTCAGTACACGCTTATCTGGAGGTCTTCATTAGTTCAATGTTATAAGCGCATCGAGATTGCTGTACAATGCAATTAAATGATACATTCAGGCGTGTTCAGCTAATAAAGCGTTGCTTAACTTTATCCAGTTAAACGTTATCACTGAAATCTAAAATTCTCATCTTTACAGTGTATCGAAACAGCTTTAACCTCGTTTACTTTGCTTGTAAGAAGTGCAAAATTGAAACATAGCGCGGATTTCCTCTTAATATTTGTTTTCAAATGAATCAGGAATCACTAAAAAGATGGAACCAGTATTCAGTGGTGCAACTTTTCTTCAACTAAGAACACAGAGAGAGAGAACTCTGGCGGTCTAAGTCGACTGCAGATCGTGTAACTTTGTAGCGCCTACATCAACACAAATGCACTTATCCTATCTTATTCTCAGTTTAGTTATGACATCACCTTTTTAATTATTTACCGTGATCTTTTCATCCATTGACTCTTCGCCAAATTGTCAGGTTTCCCTTCTGTGCAGTCGGTGAAATCGCACGTAATAACGACAATAGTTCATCGTTTGTTCTTCGTATATCAAGTAAAATTCAAGGTTTTTTCATCAGTAATGTAGCTTCATCTTCTCTCTTCGAAGATTTTGTTTCTAGTGTCATTTCTGTCTGAAATTAAGTTGGGTGGTTGTTTTATAAGATTCATTGAGATTACTACCACCTTCCTTGTTGAACAATGTCAGCTGACATGGAATCAAGTTGGAAAAAGGTTAGAGGTGGTCAGATCAAGACATGACATCAATTCACGAAGTGTTTGACTCTTGACACGAGCCATTTAGGGAGGTGTACATTGCATCGTTGATGCCCTTGAGATGACAAAAACCAATATGTGGAGGTTCTTGGTTATATGGCTGAGAATCGTTTCCAGTGTTACAGGTACATCTACTCCTTTTGGTCTTTTAGATTAACTAAATCCTCATAAATCTTCATGTAATTATTCACCTCTCGCGTACATTTACACTCTGTTACTTTTCTCTTGAATGCTTTTATTAAGTGTGGCAAATTAAATCGTTGCACTTTTTATCCAAAGTTCTAGGTTGATAGTTCATTTGAGTTCAGAGTATTACTTAAGTTTTATTGTTGTTTCTTTCAAAAAGTAATTTCTTCGTGTTTTGTTCACTCTTCAAACCTTTTGGATGTTGTTAGCTATGTACTTCTATGCTTCGCTCAACGAATCCACGATTGAATGGAATTTGGTTGCAATGGTCGTGTGATGAACCTATCTATTTGAGTAGTATATGCCAAGCATGGCCGATTCATACGAATATCTACTCATATCGCAAACCCTTGATACCGTTCAGAACTGAATCGTTCTACTGTCCTCCAAATTTTCATCTTGGTACCACGGGTCTGTCATCGACACACGCTATAATGAGTAAAGCGTCTATCGAACTGTCACAACCCATGTGTTATCGTGTATTGAGTAATACAGTCAAAGCTGACTGGGAGGTAAGCGTTAATATACATTTGATTGATGCACTATTCTTTTTTTATAATCACTTAAATGTCCAGACCTGTTGTTTTGTTTTGTGACTCTTTTCTATTGTCCTTTGTGTATGCACAATTACATCTGTAAGAACTACTTATACTGGAAGGGTAATAACGAATTTATCGTACACAATGATTGCTATATGGAATCTATCTAGCATAAAAACTGAAAGACGAGGGGAATTTTGTCAGAATTTACTGTGAAGTAGTGAAACAAGAATATGTAAGTAAATAAGAGAACATTATTCGAATGGTTCGCAGTAGTCTCTTTTGAGTTATGCATACCACGGTACGTCCTCGTCCGATGGTCGAGTATGTAAAAATCACATAACTTGCAAGTCAATACACGGAGTATCCAGTTGGATATTACCTATATATACGTATATATATATATATATACATATCCTTACTATCCTAGTCGGTGAATCGATATTTTCTTCTCCATCTAGTTTCCTAGGCTCTACCTGTCTGCCATGTTCCATTAAAAGCTTCCAAAAACGTTTAGTGACTTATTTAATCGTCTCACCAGTTTTAATCGCATTCATCATATAGTATAAAACAAGAACAGTTTGTGTATATCACTAGCAATATAGTCAGCCTCTGTCAAGTCAGTGATCATTTCACATAACTGTTATTCATAACTCAGTTAAATAACTATCTTGCTTTCAGTTAACAACTAGCTTCTTTTATTGATCCACTCTCCTGCACACTGTACTATCCAGGAAGCATAACAACAAAAAGTTCATTTTCGAAATTTGTGCAATTGTAACCATATTGTACTAATATTATTACGAAATTACTCTACATTTGTGTGTATCTGTTTGTGTGCTGACGAGAAATGTTATTATAATGAGTTAATTATATATATATATATATATATATATATATATATATATATATATAAAACAAAAATGCAAAATATATAGGTGGGGTGTGCATAAGATTGAATTGTTATTCAGTAACGATATTTTCACACAAAGAGGTTGGAGCAATGTTAGACAAGTAGTGTTTAATTATTGAACACTAATACTTGTATTATTATCAATGGTAATGCTTAAATAAGAAATAAGCTATTTGCGTGAAAATCTCAGCATCTTTGAAATAAAACAATTCCAGCATTTCACTCGACGATACCCGGTATTTGTGAAATTATACACTTAAACCTTGATACTAACCCAGAAGTATTAAATAAAACCGGATACAGCTAGCTGTGTAGAATTTTACTTGGAAATAATCACTGTCTAAGATCTAATAAAACATAATTCGTAATCTGGGACCGAATAGCCAATTCTTCTATACAATATTCATTAAGTGCAAATGTAAAACTTTGTTAAGATTTCATTTAGGCATCGTAGATTACATCGAAAAAGCTAACTTAGACAGAATGGTAAAAGTCGACCATATGAAAAACTGAAAAAATGACTGATCTTATTTACTCTTTAATAAGCTAAACTACAGTAAAAAATGTGGTCCGTCCATCGCCCTTGTTAAATGGAACAATATGCCTTGTAATAATGAATTTAGTCGTAGAGTGTTGGTGTTATATAGCAAGTGATGGTCAGTAAATGAGACTAGAATTTCACTTGCTGAAATGCTTATGCATTCTTAGTCACCATTTTCTCAGTTGAACAGCTCTAGTTAAAGTCGGAATAGGATGGAAAAGTGTTAGAAGTGGTAATCATGCGAAAACATGATAACAGTCCATGAAGTTCTTGACTGTTTGACGTAGAGATGAAATGGCGATTAGTTTTAATATGATTATTGGATACAGGAAAAATGTGTAATGATGATTAGATAGTTGCATTTCAGACGCATTTTTACTGTTCTTAGTCCTACGATAGTCGGTTGATACATTTGCTGTAGTATGAAATTAGGATAGTGAACGGCTGGAAAACTGCCTACACGTTTTCACAAGTCAGTTTATATTTTGATGTAATTCATACAGCTTCACTCATTCATTCATTGTCAGTGTCTCATACAACCGGCTCCTCTAAAAATAAACTCTTTTAGTCAAACAAGTACTTCCATTGCATTTATACATAATATTTTATAGAGAGATTTTGTAATAACTTATAACAGTACCCCGTGTGTAACCAAAAAAGAAATTCACAGAATTTGTAACTGCCACCCATTGTGCAGAAATATTATCCTCTTTGTTGTTGTTTTAGTCATCGAATAAAGCGTGCAAGAATCTGAGTACACCAACATACAATGTCAGCTTGATTTCAATAGCGTCTGTGTTTGAAGCTAGTTTTATACGTGCTTGGCTCAACCAGCCTCGTGAACTCAACGGAGGTGATCTACCACCAAATGAAGCTGTTTGGACAGCTTTGAAAGTACCATCCATCTGTCCAGGATGCTATGCAGTGAGTCGTTAACTCTTAAATCATAACTATGTCACTTAATTCAAATGAATTTCAATTATGATTTGACCTGATAGTTTGAAATACATTGCACACGAACTTACATCATTTAGAGAACTGTTGAACAGTTTCCTTGTCCTAGTTTGGTACTCTTAGCAGGACACACCCAGGATCTTTAGGGTGAATCGGCCAATACATCAAACTTCCTTCATAGAAATAAGGACACAGTTCGGTGAACAGAAGTTTTTCGGCTATACACTTGTGAATATTTATTGTTGTGTGGCCGCAGGTTTTCAAGCATACCAAAATAAACAAAGAAAAGGGAATTCAGAATAGTGAAGATCATTCAAAATATAAGGTTGTGAGTATTAATGCGTTCACACTAGAAGTTGCGTAACACGAAAAAGACTGTAGGGAAGTGTTTGCTGATGAAAAAAGCACAGAGACAACTATCAAAATATATAGTGTGTAACGGACGAACAGAGTAAGTAAGGTAATTAGTTAGATAGTTCCAATACATGGTATACCGAAAATTTAAGACAAAAATAGTAGTGACAGCAAAATATTTACAAAAGTTGAATTTGGAAACATGTTCAAGGTAGAAGGAGGGAAGGATAAGTGTCTTTTGTGTGTATCGGTTCCATATATATCAATGACTAGTCTCAACAATGGAGAAAATATGAAAATGTGAGGTTTTTGGAAGGTTCCGTGTGACTTTGTAGGTGGCATTGGATGAGTTTTCCTTCATTCATAATTTTATTTATATATCCCTTTCAGAATTGGACATGGGAGACATTCGACAATGAAACAGTTCGATATACAGACTGGATTAAACCTCCAACCGGAAATCCTGGCGGTTGTTATCTATTCCACCCGTCTCCTTATGATAAAACTAACTCTCAGCTGGGCAGTATTCAATCGTCAGTGTCATGTGGAAAACATTATTTCGCCGTATGCCAAACACTAGCTTCACTCGATACGTCTAAAGCATCTCATGCTGATGGTGCATCATTGATTAGATGGCGCCACCATCAGAATGCAAGGCCAGATTGTTTTCAGCCGAATATAATAATGAAGAGTAAATTTCAACACAACATTTCTTATGAAGCAAAGATTCAGCACTCCGTTACCGGTAAACCATGCCTTAGGTTAGTAGTTAATTGGGCTGTTGTTTTTCTTTTACATTCCTTGCTGTGGTACTGCATAATATTCATGTACAAGTTTTATCCACTGTCAGGATAAATCAGTGCACGACATCATATTGTACATCATTCCTCCATAACTATTTGCGGATATTAAAGGCCTTCTTTGAAGATACAGAGAAAAATCATCTTCTTGGCTATCTGTAGAAATGAAGATACCCATCAAAGGGATTGCCTGGAAATAAGTAAACACCTGTAGAAAGTGTGTACATGGCAGGGATTTCTCACCCATTGAATTTTACTACTACACTTCATAAGCAGTTCAAAGTGTACAGTGTAATTGCCAGTTCATTCTCTTTTCTCATAAATCTATGGATAAGATTTTATTTTGATGAATCACGCAGTATTATACAGCAATATTAACTGATGACGTTTCCAGCACAAACTATTACTCATAATCATATCAAGTTACTCACACAACTTTTTCCTTCATTTATATACATGAGTGGAATTGATAAATATCAATATAGGATAATGTACATTCAGAAATAATAATGCGAGTGTTATTGATCAATTACAATCAGATGGGAAATAAGATGAGTGTCTTTATAGTCAAAATAAGTAACTTGTTATAATGTTATGATGTACGTGAGTTGAAATAGAATTTTAGGATTATTTATTATCTTCCTCTGACTTGACTGGTGGTAATAATATCTTCCATATCTCTGGTATTTGCATTGAGTCATTTCTGTTGCATGTGTTGGGTACAGACTCAATGAACCAGGATTCAGTAATCATTCTGTCTCTCAACCTACTTTTATTACTTCTTAGAATTTTAACCCTCTCCCACCCTATAGTGTGATTATGTTTTAATGCATGCAATGCAATCGCAGATGGTGTAGCGATGGGACCACCAATATCCCCTATCGTAGCAGACATCTTTTTGCATAGCTGGGAAAATATTGCTTTGAAACATTTAATCCTATTCCAAAAATATGGTGGAGTTATGTGGATGACACTTTCACAGCGTTAAAAACAGAACATATCTCTTGCTTCTTGACACATATAAAACCCACTAGTAAAGGGAATAAAATTCACATTTAGGTCGGAAAATGAACAAGGAGAATTAGCTATGTTAGATGGTAAAATGACACGGACAGGAAAAGGTAAACTGCACACTTACGTTTATAAAGAGCCAATGCATTCTAATATATATTTAGACTTTAACTCATCTCATCCGTTGTCTGTAAAGGCTGGTTAATAAACCGAGCAATAGCACTGAGTCTTACAAGAAAAGACCCAAATGACGAAATGAAACAGATAGAAGAGGCGTTGGTGTTAAATAACTATCCTATAAAATTCACCAGGAATATCAAAAAAGCTCAAAAGCAAAATGAAAACAATGGTGAAACTAATGATGATACCATAAATAAGAGAGAATATAAGGCATCTACAGCTTTACCATATAAGCAGGGGACATCTGAGGTCCTATGTAGAATTCTCAACAAAGCAGGAATTAGGGTGGCATTCAAACCTACAAACTCACTCAAAGACAAGCTCTGTAGGCCAAAGGACCCGGTGAGGTCAATTACATAGGTCAAACTAGTAGATCAGGAGTAGTGAGATTATCATAACATAAGAAATTAGCTAAGGTTAGAATGATTGATCTCAAGAAGATAAGTAATTTAAAAAAACTCAGCAATCGTATTACCTGCGTTAACACACAACCACACAATAGGGTGGGACAGCATCAAAATTCTAAAGAGTAATATAGGTAGGTGGAGGGAGATTGATTACTGAATCCTGGTTCATTGAGTCTGTACCCAACACATGCAACAGAAATGACTCAATGCAAATACCAGAGATATGGAAGATATTATTACCACCAGTCAAGTCAGAGGAAGATAATAAATAATCCTAAAATTCTATTTCAACTCACGTACATCATAACATTATAACAAGTTACTTATTTTGACTATAAAGACACTCATCTTATTTCCCATCTGATTGTAATTGATCAATAACACTCGCATTATTATTTCTGAATGTACATTATCCTATATTGATATTTATCAATTCCACTCATGTATATAAATGAAGGAAAAAGTTGTGTGAGTAACTTGATATGATTATGAGTAATAGTTTGTGCTGGAAACGTCATCAGTTAATATTACTGGATAACACTGTGTGATTTATCAAAAATAAAATCCTATCTATAGTGGAGTTATACTCTACCACAGTGCACAAGTTTTATACTTATATCTCATAAATTTTGTTAATCAACTGTCGCTATTAATAAATTGATACACAGCAATCATTCACGTGGTAACTGTGGTGTTTCTTCTTCTTTTATTTCTCTTTATTACAGGTGGGACTTAATCGATCATAATTTAACTGAAGTTTCATTAAACTCAAATTTTCTGCGAAATCATCTACTCGCCGCAGAAATGGTTCACGGTGGTGCTTACTTCTCCTACGCTGAGAATTATTGTTCTCATGTATTTGATGAAAGTACAGAGTCGACAAAATTTGGATGTTACATCAGCATTTATCCACCGATTTTTGAGGTATTTACTTATTGTCTCCTTTTCTTTATGCTAACACGCTATTGATGTCACCACAGAATGACTGAAATGTTGTTCAGCAGTTGCTTTTTTGTTATTATAATATGTGTCTGTTCTGATAATTTCAGCTGGGAACTCTTGGTTGACCAGTAGTAGTCGGCAACACCTTTTAAAGAAGTGTATCATTATTCCTTAACTTTACTAGATCAGAGGGACAGCATATCTGGTTTACTGACCGTCTATGTAGTTGTAAGATTAAATTGACTAGCTATTGTAGCACACTGTTTACGACGTGAAAGTGGGACGGGATGACTGACTGGTTTCAACATAGAACTTTGCTCTGATGTGCAGAAGTTCGAGTCGCCACACTTCAATTAGCTCACAAAGCAGGAGAAGAAAACAAAACGAGATGCAAAATAGAGACACTAAACAGAAATATGAAGCAAAAAGAATATTTTTATCGAAGAACAATATAGTTTCATTGGCAATCATAAGTCACAAGGAGTGGATGCATCTGCGCCATTGAGAACGATTTTGAGCCATATCACCAATTGTTTCTAGCCATTGGTTTTTACCATCCCGAGGACCCCAGCCAGGCAGTCAGAAAGTCTACACCTTCCTATGTGGTTGGCTAGCTGGCTGGCTTGAACTAACTGTTGTGGATTTCATTGACTGATGAAGCTATGTTTTGCTTTGACCGCCACTGGCATTTTTCCAACCTGACCCTATGTCAGCTAACATTGCCCGTCGGTCGAGGGAGGCAATGGCTAGGCATGCCCTAACCATCTCAGTCGATGTAACTTCACAGCCTCGTCTTTTGGTTTTCTCTCTTTAACTTAGCAGTAAACGGACGCCTAACCTTAATATTACTCACCCTATTATGCCAAGTACCTCAGGAGATAGAACGCAGACACCTATGATCAAAGACAGCTAGCCAGCCTTTTCATGTCCTCCACTCTCAATGGCCAGGTCTCGCTCACAGCCATGAAGGAGGACGGAGAGGACTACTGAGCTGTACACACGTCCTTTGGTCGATAGCTGGATATCACGTCTATACCAGAGATGGCGTAAACTGGCATATGCGAAACTAGCCTTCTGTATCCGTGCTGAGATTTCGTCATCCATCAATCCGTTGGGGCTGATGCAACTTCTCAAATAATTGAAGCAGTCAACGTGCTCTACCACTTCACTTCCTATTTCTAAACTAGGAGTCAATGTAATCCAGTCCTGTAACATCACCTTACATTTAGTGGGAGCGAATCGCATGCTAAACATTCGCAGATTGCAGCTCAAGGTGTTCAGAAGACTTCATTTTGTCAGCGTCTTCACCTCGGAGCAGGACTCCAGCATTTGCTTATGCTAAGTCAACCAGGTTATTCCATGGTAATAAGTAAATTTCTGAGTCGCTGAACTCAGCAGTTAGGATTAATTCCATTATAACATCTACGATAAAATTAAAGAGAAATGGGGACAGTGTGCCTCCCTGACGGACAGCACTGGTTGTCATCACAGTTGTCAGATGACAACTCTCCGTAGGCTCTCATCTGACTGACTGCATGAGTTCGTTCGAGTAGAGTGAGTGCCTTGATCAGTGAAATATGTTTCCTCGGCATTCCCTTTACAGCCAAACATCCACATAGTACCCCTCAGTCGACGGAATAGAATCCCGCTTTCAGGTGAAAAAATAGGACAAGTGTTGGACGCCAGTAAGTATGCCTATGTTTCAGAATCTGTCGAAGTGTGAAGATATGATCAATACACTCTCTTCCTGGTGTAAAGCCTGCCGCCTGGTTCTCTCGTGTTTGTTGCTCCCTTGGACCATTTAGTCTACGCATGATTATTGATCCTGGAACTTAAGATACCGTGTTGGTCAAGCTAATCTCCCTGTGGTTATCACTTGTCTCCCTTCTTGTATATTGGGTATGATCAGTGACTTATACCAACCCGACGGAACTTTCACTGATTCACAGACACTGTCTAATATCCTAGTTAACGCAGACAGTGAACTGTCTCCGCCTTCATTGAATACGACTGGAGTGATTCCATTGGGTCCCGCTGCTTTGCCTCGTTTCAGACTAGTGACAGCCTTAGTAACCTCAGTTGGGTATTGAGTATCTGTGTTTACGTCGCATTCAGGGAGGTGTTGAATGCTGGGTAAGTTGAGCGTGGTTGTAAATGAGTTAAATCGCTCCTCAAAGTGTTCTATCCAACGTTCTAGTCTTGTATCCTGGGAGCTAATTATGGTGCCATTCTTCTCGGAGATTGTCTCACTTATCATTTGACTTTTGCCACATTTTTTTTTGTTATCAGACCAGATAGTTGTCAGGTGTTACCTATCACCGATGCCTTTTCCATCTCTTTCGCCTTTGTCATCCAACACTTTTCACGGTCGTAACGAAGACTTCTGGTTAGTTTGCGTTTGAGTAGCTTTCGGCCATCATCATATTCGGGACGGGACGGGACGGGGGTGGAAACCAAAAAAATGTATCTTATCACTGACTAATATCACCAGTTGACAACTGTCCAAAGATGAATCGTCATATGGAGATAGCTGCATTGTAGTCTAGTAGAAAAAATTGTTTCGATACATTTACATACTTTACTTTTTTCCGCCTTTTTTTCTCTTTTTACTAGAATTGCACTCCAATCGAATGCGTACATCCGGTTCATGTATCGAAGGCACCTGTGCATTGGTTCAATGGAATTGTTTTGTTCATATTTATTACTACATGCTGTGTATTCATTGCCTTCTTGTATTGGCGACTCGGTTTCCGTAAGTGTATGAATATGCGCCAGCGTTATCAACCATTTGGTCGTCATCGGACATCGCGTAAACGCATGACAACGCTATACTTTGGCAATCCGAATAATAGCACCACCGGTATATTGAGTAGTGATAATCATAATAATACGACAGCAAACAATGATGATCTGCCTGACGACTTTTTATCTTCAACACCTGACAAACTGTCCTCTGCACAAAAATCTGATAAGCCTAACTTCATTTCACTGCAAACCACTGGACCAAGGAAGTTGAACGATACTGACAAGTCGACAGCAAGCAGTGATAAGTTTACATTGTCTGCATTAAGTTTAAGTCGTACTGCAGCTTCAATAGGTTTTATGAATCCAATTTATGTACCATTAAATGATGGATATGTGGAGGATAATTATGATCCCGAGCCAACTAATTAATTAAATTGTGATAACCGCTCATAATGTGTAAAACACTTTGTTCCTATATAATATCCAGTCTTTCGGTTTTTGGACAGGAATATTTGAGACTGATACATCTTCATTATTTTTATGTTATGACGTTATATCATTCTTACATTACAGTACGAATTTTTTTTTCTATTGCGCCCATTGTACTATTTTTGTGCCTTTTATACAGAAAATAAACAGCTAAAACACACATCCATTGTGATTAGAAGGATTCTCCTCTTTACGTTGCCAATCAGATCTGCACATTTGTTTTCTACTGGTTTCTTCCCTCTATGTTTCATCATATCCAGCCTGTAATGTACACTTCTCCTGTTTTATTTTTACTCGTATCTTTTCTTTAGTGTGATATACTTATATAATGAGACTGAAATTCAGCGTTGCAGGAGCTTTTCTAATGCATGAGTTGTCTGTGTGTTTATCGTGTGGACTTTTTTGCACATAATTATGCTTATTTTCTATTCTCTCCACTTATTTGGCTGTGTTGCACATTTTAAATATGTCATTTTCTTTCTCCAGGGTTGAAATTCATAATGTTTAATGCAACTGTTGTTGGTTGATTATTCCATATCTTGTTATGTTCATAATCTAGTAAAATGTGATGTGATTCCCAGTTTGTTGGCGTTTTGATTGACTGCACCGAAGCGTGTAGTTTAGCAGTTCAATTTGTTACACTCCATGTGGTGGCGCATGAACGAAAATAAAGAAGAGGGAGAAAAACAAGCGATTCAAAAGAACGATAATAAGCAGAAATGTGAGTGAAGGAGAAGGAATAGTGACGCAGAAAAACCATAGGGTTTAATGGATATGGTAGATTGATTACAAAAAGTGATTGCATCTGCACTATTCAGAACGATTTCAAGCCATTTCACCAGTTGGCTCCAGCCATTGAACCTTGGCATAGCAGTTAGGACGCTCGCCGACCATGCACATGGTCCGGGGTTCGATCCCCGGCCGACGCACTCCTGTACCTCGCTAAGCCAGAAATAATGCTGGTGAAGAGGAAAAGTTGGGCATGAGGCTAGCAACCCCATCCTGTAAAATAAACACTGCTACAGAAACTTCAAGCCACTAGTTTGGAGCCCTATGTTCCACTGGGGAATGTGATGGAAAAAGATTTCCCTTGGCATTCCGAGGACCTCAACTAGGAAGCCTACGCCTACATAGCTCGAACCCTGTTAAGTCTACGCATAGTTGGTCTAATATGTCGTAAACGTAATGGCTCTAAGCACACTAAAGCAGTATTAAAATAGCGTTTGGCTGCGCATCAGGGTTTAGGCTTTCGCTTGTCAGTTATGTATTCTTATTTATTATTTAATAGGAGTAGAAGAACTAGGCAAACGTCTTGCAATTTTATTCAGTTAATAGTTACACAGACGCTGTAATGCTGTTCCAACTTCACAGTGATGCTAATGTATTCTGACGAATTTCATATGATTAGTCTCTCATACACGTGTTTATCCGTTGTAATGTTGTCCCGTACCTTTCGTCCAGGTTCCCACCTCATTTTATGAGTCAGTTTTACTTCTCATGTTATCAAATCAAAAACGCTATTATCTCAAGAAGTACGTCTGAGCTTTATGCTTGGATTCTGAAATACCATGAAGAATGGCATCCTGGTGAATTGATTAGGTTTGCAGATTAGTTATTCTTCTAGTAATTTGGATTTCATATGAAGTATTTAGTTGGAAACGCAATTCACCACCCTAATTCAGATGAACTCTGTCTAATCAAAGATTTAGCTACATAATAACTCATACATCTACAAATTATCTTCTCGAAGATATTAATATACGTGTAAAATTTAGGCCCTGGGATAGTATTTCCATGTTAATTTGTTTCTTAGATATATCACACAGTGAGACAGTATTATTTACTGGATGACGTTTTGAAACGTGGAAATTCTCGAAGATACTCATTCAGCTCACCGAATGCTTTGCGTTCATGTCTTTAGATTTATCACTGAGTTGTAGGCCAGGAACGTCTACATCGCATGCGATAGTTATCAGATCATTCTAGTGACTATATCTGTGCTAAATAGATATTTAGCCAAAATGACTGGGAAAGAAATTGCTTAGCTGTAATGTCGACAACTAATTAAGAAGTCATATGTTTAGGGCTCAATAATGTTGACACCAATAGAATATCTGATGACTATGTTAAGCATGTTGTTTTATGGCTGATGGTGATTTACAATGGAATCTAGGCTGCATGTTTGAGACTTGTCATCTGGGTGTGCATGCATCAGTGAGTGATAATGTTGCTACTGAGAATTGAAACTATTATTTCGCATGCTTAACTGGACGAAGGTAGAGGAACATCCATCTGATGAGTGGGACGCAGGTCCTTGATTCCACTGTTAGCCACTACCAACCAAGTAGTTTTATGCCGACTTCAAGCTATCGTCGAGACCGACAAGTCAGCAGAAACCGAACATTTTGGTCAACTCAAAATAACCTCAACGAATATATTAAGCATGTTTCTTAGTATGAATGCTCTCTCAAAGCCAACAGTAGTTAGCCGCGCCTGTTTTGACCGATGGAATCTGTGATTACAAAAACAGGAAGGATGAAACATGATCGTGTCTGCTTGCAGTCTTCAATCCTCCTTTATCGAAACTAGTTTGTAACGCTATTGTTTCAAAACATGATAATTTTGAGAGAACAGTTGTTTTCGATAAATTCTTCCTCAGGCTCTACAGTTATAAATCCATGAATATTATGACACAAATAGCCATTAAAGGCATGTGAAAATTATATCGGAAACTGTATTGGAGTTCATGTATAATATGGAGTGATAGTTCGTTATCTGATATTGTCCAATGAACGTATATAAAAATGTGCAGTCATTCAGAGCATAAGATAAAGTGGGAATAGACAAATGAGAGGTATACATACATATTTATAGTCAACAGAATATAAGTTTCATTGGAGGGTGGGGGTGAGTTACCGTGTGCAAGGAAAATGATTACCACAAAATTCATACAAACAAATATCGGAAAATTGGGAACACTGAATGTAAGTTAAGTTGAAGCAAGGGCTGACAGGTATCAAGTGTAGTGATAAAATAAAGAGGTTAAATTGTGGACTGCAATAAAATACTAGAGACATAATAAGCTTAGTGTAAATTACAAAAGGTTGACACATAAAAGGTAATAATGGAGTAAAGTGAACTAGGTGAAAAGGAATAAGAAAGGCATAATACTACATGAAAATATGGATGATCACGTCCCTACTGACCCTATAGTAGGTCAGGATAAACGAAGTCGACGGAAGTGCTTCTTTTGCACACATAGGTCAGGTATTTTCCTATTAATCTCTATAGCTGAGGCGTAATTGTGTGCATTTAGGTAGATTGTTTGGTTCTCCACTTAAAACCGTAAATGACTCATCTACTTTGTTGTGGCGTTCACTATCTACTAGATGAGACAAAATGACACTATGTATAGCTTTGATTACACTTTTTCCAAGACAAACAGGAACATATTCATGAACGCGTAAAGATAAATTCCTCCAAGTTCGACCTATATAACTAACTCCACATGAGCAGTTGAACTTGTATACACCCATTCATGTGGCCATCTCTGGTAATTCATCCTTGGTGCACTGTGTCAGTAACAGTCTGGTTGAGAAACTGATGTGCAGCACTGAAAGTTCTTTCAACTGATCTGATCAAGCTTTGGCTTAATATATCGCCTTTGAACCATACTCCTAAATAAAGCTTTTTCTTATTGTTTGAGTTGTATTATTCTTATCACTTATATTGAACAATCAATCACTGGCGACTTGCCCTATTCAGGTAGCTAGTTACCTGGGGTTTTAGTGGGAAGTCGTGACCAGTAGGGTGAAGCAGGTCAGGTGTGAGGACAAATACTCGCCGAAGACATTGGCTAGTGGTCACGCTATGTCTTGAATTGGTAGAAGTTAGAGTTCATGGGCCATTGGATTGGGTCCCAGTGGCTTAATGGTCTACGAGCTCGCTGGCCTTGTAACCGGAAGGTCCTTGGTTCAAATCCCGATGGTGGGTGCATACTGCTGAAGCGGAGTCCCAAACTGGGACGAAACAGTTGTCCAGTACTCCCAGGTTTTCCAATGGTTCTCTGATTGATATCAGCTCATGATGAAATCCTGTAACCAATCAATCAAATCCCCACAAACCAACACTCAAAAGAATTACGTTTGTTGCCAACACTAGCATTACTATGGTCATTTATAGCACATATTTTTAATTCCTGGCACACAAAAGGATGAAGTGATTTTGAGGAATGCACGATTTGAAAAAAATGTTATGAAACAAGATATACTATCATTGGTAAGCATCATGTGAGGGGAAGATAACACTGCATGTGTCAATCCATCATGCTGAGTAGTTCTTACATGTCTCGTGTGTCTTAAACAATTACCACAGAAAACACTGTGTTTCATCTCTTTACAAGCACTATTTCAGTATAAGCTATGTAATGATGATTAAGTTTAGTCTGTCTGTACAAAGGAGCCGTTTCAATTGGGTGTAAAATGGTTGACTAAAACAAATAGGTGTAAACTATGGAGATTTAAAACAGCAGGGGACTAGTGTAGGATTTATTTAATCTACATTTAACAGTATTTTTAATACAGTGTGAGATTTCCATCATATAGTACAACATTACATCGAATGTCCTCTTTAGGTTACACAGGAGTGCGGGATTACCACCGATCCTTATGATGTTAGTAGTAATTAATATGTCAATAAATCAATAGGAATAATAACAGCAGTACATTAAAGATAGGAAAAATCGGATTACTCCGTGTGCGTCGGTGGCACAGTGGTTAGGACTCTCGCCGACCATGCACATGGTCCGGGGTTCGATCCCCTGCCGGCGCACACCCGATATCTATGGTCGGCCTGCAAAATTTGGGCTACCGATATCCATGCTGAAAATTCCACACTTGTACTGAAAATACGGTGTGGAATCAAGCTGTAAATCAAAATCAAAGTTAGTAATACCCTACCACATGCTCACATAAGATGCGTGTCAAAGAAGCATCGTCCACTTTTTAACTTAGTTTTGTGGACATCAAGTCTTTTGTGATGGCTTCCTGTCCTACATGAAGAGATAGGTGCATGCGGAAGTTAGTGAGTAAAGAGGGTTTTCAGTATCCGATGAAATAGCTTGCCATCATTTATCAAGAATGACATCAAGGAATTGGCCTAGGAGAATGCCACTCACACTATCGACAGGTTATAGTGTTCTTCACAATTCAAGAGTCTTTATTTAAGTACCCCTGAAAATAATAAGGGGAATCAATAACGAAGAATAACAAAAAGTCAAGAGTCACCAAATTTCAAAAGTAAAAGCTGCAACACATCAATGACACCGGATCCAGTTGTGTGTCAATTAAGTCTTCACAAGTGCTCACACTGTTAAGTTTCAGTATGAGGATGTACATTTATGGCATCATCTAAAAAAACAATCACTATAAAAAACCGTTATCTAACTTCAGTTTAAAGAAAAGGGTAACTTTGCCTCCCGGTAGTTACATGTGCAATCCGAAACTTTCCTTGTCTTGCTATCCTTGAGATTTAGTTGCATGGCAGATAAGTTTTGAATTATCACCCAAAATTATTGATTTTT